CTAGGTTTAAAAGTGCATGCCTCCAGTGGCTTCCTAATATCAGAAGGAAGAGCGTTCCAGATGGCCACAGAAGCGCATCTGAAAACGCGCGATGCGGTTGACCGTCTTTGTTCGATGGTTAGCCGAAAGCCACTGCGAGGATGAGCAGAGTTCGCCTGATGGTTTTATGATCCTTGACGAGATGAGTGAGGTATTGTGGTCCATGTGTAGCAAGCACTCTGTGTGTAATGAGTACGACCTATATGCTTGCATATATATAGTACAGTATTTATTTGTCTGTGAAAAGTGGCACTGAGTCTTTTTTTTCCGAAGGCTCCTGCATTCGTTAGCACTCACAGGTTCACACAGATGGGTTCGTTAGCTCATTATTTATTGCCTTTTCCTAACCACGTAGTATTTATTACAAGTGAACGTGATTTAACGACCATCGCCTCCAAATTGCTGGATTACGATTTGTAAAGCCGCAAGGTTAGAGGTGAATTTAAATGTGCCTGCACTCAGTATCGCAGGCAGTTTTATGTGCTAGCTGTGTGAGTTTGCTTGAGGGAATGGTGAAATAGTAGTTAGTGCGCTGTGCTATGGCTCAGGCTGTATCTAGGCAACGATTAATCAATTATTGAGCTCACCATACATACATGCATCGAATCGCCTGAGTACGTTCAAATGTTTGTTGTTCAATTTGTAAATAGTAATAATAGTAATCTTGTACATTTATATTGGTACAATAATTATGGCGCAGAGGCTACGTTTCACACGTGAATATAGTGTGCCAGTGGGGAGCGATGTGGCAATGTGTCATCCCAAGTTAGTAAGGAATCAAATTTTGCTAATTTGGACCGACCATGATGCTAGCACGCAACCCATTCCATTTTGTGAGGAATGGGTTCATGTGACCCCTGCAGAGAGTTGTTGCCCCTTTTACCACAACATACAAAAACATGTTCGAAAATGAATTGCGACCCAACTGCGTGACAATTCATTGAATCACCAGAGGAGAGAAATGACCGCATCCCAAACTATAATCCTGATAAACATCGTTCGATTCATGGCCATACACACGGCTAACAGTTGTATAAACATCTTATATGTATGGCGAACTTATTTCTCACCGTACGTAGCCAACCGTGCAGGGCTCGTATAATGTAGTTTTTTGCCTGGGTGTGTACCTGTTGCAATGTGCTTGCACGTCAGCCCCGGGCAGACAATGTCGGTCTGGCGGTGGAGCTCGTGCCGTGTGCAAACTTATTGTGCCACTGCCCCAGCCTACGTTAAATTGGTTGTGACTGCAAATTTCATAAGTGAATACAACTATGTACTGCATACGTAGCTGTTTTAGAATGAAAATAGTGCCTTGGTTTTGTGAGTTTGGGAGCAAGGTGGGTTATTTGCGTGGTCAATAAACGGCTTCCAGTGTTTGTTTTGGGCCAGCTCGCCTTCGATGCCGCGCACAACACGTCCTTTTACAACATCTGCATAGAAACACGATGCAATGCAAATGTTATACCACTTGTCTGGTTGTCGTTTTATTTGAATGAAAGCATACATTTTGATTTAAAGCTTTCGTGACTAATTCATATTCTTAGTTCTTTCGGTAAAGTCACGTTGAAGGGAAACAACCAAATAATAAAATATATATAAAACAATAAAAATTCTCACGACGTTTCGACCATAACACAAACGGTCGAAACGTCGTGAGAATTTTTATTGTTTTATATATATTTTATTATTTGGTTGTTTCCCTTCAACATGACTTTACCGAAAGAACTAAGAATATGAAAGCATACATTTTATTGCACTGTGGAACTATCTCTAATGGTTGGCGCTCAATAATGTATATGGATATTATGCGGCAAACTGGAATACCGTCATGGAAATGAATGTTTTTTTTGTAAAATGATGCTTTAAAAAGGCACGCAAAGGAATGCAGAGCGAAGTGCAGTTACCAGATGTAATGTGGCCAACAGCAGTGACCTCAGCCCTGCATCTTCCTTTGCAGAATTGCTTCAGCAACCTCAATTTCATTGATGATTATGAACATCCATCTGTATTGTTAGAGTAAAGTGACTGGAGGTGTATATATGTATATATTTCATTTGCTGTTATTATATCCCTAACATCTGTATTACTTGAAAGAGTATTTGTTATTTTAGTCGTAGTATAGTGTTTGGCAATATACATAATATACAGTATATATAAATCCATTACAGTTTTACTTATTTTCTTTTGGTTAAAATAAAGTCTTCTCTTCTGCCCTCCATTTTGGAGTTAGCTTTGACATGCTAATGCATAACGTCTCTTCTTTTCATATGAGGTTAATTTTGTGGTGTACCACTTTTGCCTTGTAAACAGTACCGTTTTCATCTTTCTCAACTTGTAATCTGCAAAACACGAAGTAATTGCATTGTTGTGGAGAATATAAGTAACAACATAAACAAGCAGACAATACACCTCATTCTCATATCTGTCCATCCACGTAAAATAAAACGAAGTATATTTTACACATCCCATCAGTCACATGGCCTTATGGAAGTGCATCACTCTAAGCTAGTCTTGACAATCATTGTTTCATCGGCAGTCAGGCTTACTTGAACCAATGCTGGTGAACTGTCAGATGTTTATAGACAAAGAAATGGGTCCTAGTTCAACCAAACACTATATAATATATATATACACCAGGTATGAGGAGGGATATTGTCTGATTATATGTTTCGTATTCTACATATGTGCTTTCTTGAGAAACAAAGTTTGCAAACCGGAATATGCTTCAATGGTGCTTCAATTCCACAGTTGAGCGCAGACTTTGTTGAAAGATGAGCACACTGCTGCATCCAACCATTAAGCAACCAACAGGATGCCAACAGCCAGACTGTGTGAATGTCGCTCTAATGTGTTTGCACCAGGTGTTATTCGGCTGGATGTCCAATTTTTCACTTCACATGCTGGGAGCTTCTTCAAGAACTAAATTTCTTGGGAAATTCTTTCAGGAAGTCAGTTCCTGAATGAGCTCCCAGCACATGGGAGGGAAGCATCCGACATTATGCCGAGCAAAGTGCGGTACAACCCAAAGACACATCAGAGGGCTTTACAGCACGAAACCACAAAAGCCTACGAAGTTGCTTTGAATAAGTGATGCGCACACTTAATAAAATAGTTGCACTCTGCCAGCTGTGTCGGTCAGCTCCACAACATAAATGAATCATCAGTGTGACTCTCGAGGCAACGCACTCCATGCTTGGCCATCATCGAAACGCTATCAAAGCGTAGTTTTGTGCAATGTGTGATGAGTTTTTTTGCAGTTGCTCTGAGTGGTGTGATTGCCACAGGGGGTACAACTTCTGCTTTTCCTTTTGCAACGATTGTTGGGACCTGACCGTATTTTTCCATTCTCTGGACATCAGTGCCCCACGGCTTTCTGTTCAACACAAAAGAATACATTTAAAATAGAGATGTCCTCAAAAATCCACACAATGGATAGTTTTGGTACTCTCTTGTGTAGATCCACCAGTCTAAAGTGTAAGTGCTTTTTTGCTGAACTCTTGCCCTCTCTCTCCAGTAACTCTGCAACACTTGGTGTCTTTATAACATCTAACTACCTCGCATGGTAAACAGGAGGTTGTGGGTTCGATCCCAACCCTGATGCCTATATATTAGAGTTTGCATATTCTTCCCTTGGTCGCACGGATTTTTCTCTGGATCTTCGGGGTTTTCCCTCCACATTTAGAAACACGCGTTTAGGGTGTTTGGCTGCTATACATTTCCACGTGTTAAGCACACTTCGTTGAGCTATCATTTCTGGCCTGGTCGCTTCTGAAAAAGAGCTGCATAGCTCAATGGGCCTTACCGGGTAAATATATTTTTTAATAAGATGTTCTTGTGAAAACAAAAAACAAGGTAATGGAGCAGCACTGCAATTACTTGACGACGTCACTTCTGGTAGAAAGGCCGTCATGACAGTTAACGCTAGAGAGCCCCACTATGATGCATGTTTGGCCTCCACTTCCACTCTGACCTGCCGATCAAGTAACAGTGGTGTACCCATGTTTACCGCTCGGTGAACGTAGATTGAACCGGCGACACCTGGAATCGAAGCGCAGAATGTCAACTGTCACATGATGGCAACACCGTTGGTGTTCTTGAGAATTGGCGATTCGTTACAGTGAACAAAAAAAATAATTCCCCACCCCCAGTCCTAACTCCAGAAATTTGATGAATCGTTGTGGTCCTGATCACAATTTTATTCAAAAGGAATTTTCTATTGTATTGCAGCTCTAATTGTCTCAGTTCTGATGTGAACCCATTACTTGCAACATTTATTTACTGCCATTTTTCAATCCACTGCTGGATGAAGACCTCCCCAAGAACTTGTTGGTTATGGGAGTTGCGTGACCATACTTTACTACGCTGGTCAATGTGTGTTGGTGAATCTGGCAGGGGAGGGAAAGGACCTGCCCAGATATCACATGCCACTGTGAGCCACGGTTTGGAATCGAACTAAGGCCACTGAGTTCATGGTGCAGTGCGCTAACACACCATTGCTCTGCTGCTCTACTCAAAATACAACACATTTGAAACAAAACACATCCATTGTTACTTCTTACACATGTCGTTTGATACATGTTTCCTGAGCTGTCCAGCGTGTTTTCAAATGGTACCAGTACAACCAGGAAACAACACTGGTGAGCGAGCCAATGCAGCACAACCGCAGAAAACTCCCACGCAGCCAAGACGCCGCGAGCTGAATAATCACACTCGTCGGTGAATCAATGTCATTGTTCCACCCATACACAGAAAGTCCCGATATCCCCGCACAAAGCAAAATAATGAATTTTGCCTCCAACCCAAAGTGGACCTGCCGAATGGCCCCAGGTGAAAGGGCCCTTAAACGGCCACTCCAATTGTAAGTGCTGAAAAATGCAAAGTGCCGCGCTTTGCAGCATGCCCTGCTAACCGCAAACGCCCTGCTATATTTATTTATTTATTCTTCTCCTCCTTTTCCTTAGCAACTCCCTGGGTGGCTCCGGGAGACGTGGATTTGTTTGATGTCCGCAGGCGGCCGTGGTAAGCGCTCGTGAAGCGGACGGCCAAGGGCCACCATATTTCTTGCTCGCTTACCGCTTGATTCATTCATTCGTTCATCCAATCATTCATTTTTACGCGTAATTTATTGCCCCAGAGCTGCCTTTAATGGAGTTGACTGGCTTGAGCATCGCCGCATAAATCTGATCCCTGCAATGCAGAGTTGCAGCCAATTTCCTAAACGTTTAGATCATCGCAGTAGCGGTCATAACGGGGGCATTACATGTAACTGACTGTGATGTAATCGTATGTGTACAACATCACATTTTGCGTTTATCATGGCAATAAAATATTTGCTTACATTTTTACATTAAAGGTATGCCAAATATAGGTGTGCACACACATATATAATTTACCAGCATGCTACCAGTTTATGCATTTTGTGGTACAATAATAGATTACATTTACTGTGACAGAGTTTCCAAACACATTTCAGCCATTTATAAAACATGTAATATTTCAAATGTGACGTTTATAAAAAGAAACGCTCACATTTACACCCAGTCATTTGGATTCACTGGAACCAATGCTGTCTTAATGGTGAATTTATCCACCAAACGTAGATGTTTCAAATAGCTACATTTAGAAACTGTAGTACCATGACAATCGATGTAATCATTGTTTTCATATCATGATTCACAAATGAACTATGCCATGCCCTGCATTGTTTCAATGTACAGACAACTTGACGTGAATTCTGGAGTTGAAACCAATGAGAATGCACATGAGCTTCATTTTATCTCAGCAGTTCCTCTGTACAAAAATAATGAACAACACATCAGAATTCGGCAGTATTTCTTGGAACGCATTTAATATTAGTAAAATCATAACAATAATAATCGTAAACATTCCTATCGTGACTGCACGCAAGACTTAAAAACAGGAAATGGCAGTAAAAAAAAAATAAAGTAAATTTGAATGTACTAAAGTTATTGTACCATCTGGTCTAATTAAAGATTGACATATAGCAAAATGAAAGTCATTTACAGCGTCTGCCTGCAATAAAACTCACTTTATGCTGGGGGACTGTGTGATTGATGTGGCCGGCAGTAATTTCCACCTCCATCGCAGCACTCCTGGCATATTCATTTACCTTTATGCCTGCAGCCCCGGTCATTTCGAGAGGCTCTTGTCCCTCAAGCGCAGAAAGTCAAGCAAGCAAACCGAGCGTGCCGGAAAATGCTTCCCGTTATGGCTTGAGGAACAAGCTCGCAGAGAGACAAATGCTCAAATGTCTCAAATGCCATTACTCAAAAGCGCTGTCCTCATAGTTCTTTGCCGCCAGTAAAAAAAAAGAGCTAATAAAATGAGCAAAGTTGAATTTCCATTGCCTCGTTAAGAAACGAATTTTCAAGACGGAGCAGTACGTTGCTGATAGAGGAAAAATGCAAGACTGCTAAGGAAAAGTATAGTTTGCATTGCATATTGGTATTTTAAATACATTTCAATGTGGGCGATTAAATAATCCCTCCGATAAACGGGATGTAGTTGCCGTGCTATTAATTCCACGCTCAGTTGCTGCATTCGACGATTGCCATTCGTGCACATGCACGCGTGTTGACATGATTTGTGTTTCTTTGCAGGTACATACAAGGGGCCTCATCTCCCAAGGACATGGTGATCATTATAGACGTGTGAGTACGGAGGAGCATGTCAAATGACAGCCGTTTGCAATAGCAAAAATTTCCCCTCGGGCTGAGTTGGCAGAAATTAATTTTGTCGCGGGGTAGATGTTTGCCACAGAACTGTTCTTGTTTCAACATATTGTATACGTTACTCATTAACGTGTTTAACGTGCCAACTCAATGCAATAATAATATGACCATATATATCTGCAATCATTATCAACAGCTACTTTAATTTCGTTGCTTGATGAAGGCTTTCCATTCGGCGTGTAAAGATTTGCCTCTCACAATTCAAAGAATTGTCACGAATAAAAGTCAAGATTCGATTTAAGAATCAGATGGGGTTTTTTTTGTTTACATTGTGGTGCATTGTCGTACCTCTAGTGCAGGGGTCATACTGACCATTTACACAATGACAGTTACTAAAGGAGCAGTGGAGAGGTGGTGCAGTGGTTAGCACACTGCACTATGAATGTGACGACCTGAGTTTCAATCCTGGCCACAGCTAACATCAGTGGCAAGTGACATCAGAACCGTTCTCGCTTGCCCTCCCCCCCATACTTCACCAGTATGATTGAAGTATGGTAAAATAAAACCAATGACTGTCAAGGCATGGGAATTCCTTCATCCAATGGTGGATTAAGAATGGCCGGGATTTAGTTTTTAGTTGTATTTATATGTATATAATGTATTTATATGTATGTAATAAATACAACATCATCGATTCTTACACACGTGTTTTGATGCATGTATCGTGAGTGTAAAAATCATTTTTTTATATACATACAGATGAATTGATGCGTCATTACATGCCCACTGACCATGATTGATGCCACTACCCACAGTCCCTTGCAGCATCATCCCATCGGGTGACCATGACATCATCACTACCTCTCATTTTTCATCAAACCTTCACGTGTGCGTCGAATTTCTTTGCTCACAATATTGTTTCGCTGAGAAGGAATAGAATTAGTTATATATATAGAAACAGTGTACTCTCTATAACATCGTGATGTATTTTTCAGGTGTAGTTGCGAATGGTAAATACTCGGGGTGTTGCCATCAGATTCGGTCATAATCGTAAATAGCAGAACCCCTGACCTCTCCTTTCTGCCAGTTCAGGTGATCAGCTTAACATTGCTAATGATTGGAATTTATCAGAATGAAAATTGGATTTGTAACAAAAATGTCATTGGATTATGCCCTATATTTATTTATTTTAAATCCTATATCAATTGATTTCATGCACAGATAAACATTTAAAACCGTTATGACATATTAAGTCGCTGTAAGCCTTCCATAAAATAGTGCTTAATGAAGTAAAATTGTATGCGAACGTCTAAATGTTGTTACATTGAGAATAAAGTAAACCAAATAGCGCTAAACAGCCAATGTAGAATAACAAACATGTTTGTGCCTTACCCTGTCCTGGCTTCCAGAACACTGTTAAGTGTGAATTTTTATTTATTTATGTGTGCCTATATATATTTACACACATTTATGGTTAAAAATTACTGTGTACATGTAAAGATGCAACGCTCCTCATGATAAATGTAATTGTCACAATTCAGGATCATTAATCGATTTAGAAATCGATTTTTTTCGTCTCGCTTTCCCACCACTTGACACATTTAATTTTTGTCTTAAGGCAGTGCCTTTGATGAATGCCAATAACACTTCCTCAGAAACTTAACACGTTCGTCAATAAAAGGAGCAACGTATAAAAGCATTCTGTACATTTGTTTTGCCCACGTTATTGACGAATGCGTAGACATTGTTGTTGCGTGTGTGCTTGTGCACTTGCTGCCAATAGCAGCCGCATCACCAAATAATGTGTTTCATCTAACGCGCATCGTTTGCGTGAACACAGACTTCTCACACACTTGTGCTGCTACGTGTGACGTCAACACTGGTTTGCCCTCACCACAGCAAAGTGAACATTCTCTCCACTTGTAAACAGGTTATGAGCACCACCGCTCTGTCTTTTGACTTTGCTTCTCCGAGTGCCAAAAGTACCGTTTGCGAATGGAGAAACTTTAATTCCATGCGTATCCAGGCGACTTTGACATATGCGCTATTTCGACGTATTTTTTTACGCATCGCTTGGTGATGGTGCTGCGTTGGCAGTGTTGCACAAACACAATTAACAAAACAACAACAAAAAATGCAACACATTAAACATTAACACTAGCATAAGAAAAGTGTTGAGGTTGTTTTTTATTATATATTGTTGGAATAGTCACTCCGCATATCCGTGTAATGTTTATGTAACTTAATTGCGATTGTAGTCTGATCAGTCTAAAAATCATCTGCCTGGCCCAATTGACATTGAAGGGATGGTATTATTTAACGTTGATTTACATTCGTTCAAAATATCTTACATTTCTTACGTGACACAAGTTGTTGTTTTTTTCTCTTAATTCTATTTGCTTCATTGCTGTAATCATTTATTTATTTTTCTCTTTGCCATCTTAGCGACTCAGGTAACTCTACCAAATGAACCCATCCAGGTCCCTGGAGGTGTCACGTGGTTAAAACAAAATGAAGTGCAAACCTTGAAACATTTTTCAATACCGCGTGTATGATATACTAAAATACGAAGCTGCACAATTTATACTTTGGGGGCTCCAGTATTAAAGTTGAACTTTTATTCCTAAATATGGAAAACTCAGTTCACGTTAAACTGGTCTCCTGGCTTGTTTAATTTAGTTTTATGTACTTCAGAGCATGTTAAAACATAGTAGTAAATAAAATGTCACATCAGAGATGAGATTGTAACATTCCACATGTATTGCCTTTCATCAAACTGAAACGTTACTTAACTTGATCGCAGTGAAGAGAGATTTTTTATTTTATACTGTAATGTCAGAGTTATGATAATCCAATTTCCTCCTTCACTTCTTTTTTATCACCCTTTCATGACGTAAAATTGTTTTCAAACAGCAGTTGTAAAACAAAATGAAAGTTATTCAATGTAACGCGTACAATATTAAAGTCTAGCCTGTGCAGTAACCATGGTGAATTGCTAATTTGATCTGCCTATCATACACTCCTGTCAAACCGGATGTGTGTGTGTGTGCCAGTAGTTAGCGACTCTTCACTCTTTGCTAAACAATCACCGTAAATTGCCTTTCTTGTTATGGGTAGGCCATGCAATGTGCTCGTACTCTTTGTATAAATTCTACTTGTTTGAGTGGCAGTAAAACGGTTTTGGGTAAACTCTGATCTTTCTTTGTGGCGTCACGATGCATCGAACTCGCCAACACATGTTCAATTCTGAAGCCCTCAATACATGCATCATATTGTATATGTATATTTTTTTATCACGTGTGTTGAATACAATGAGTTAATGTGATCCCCTGCAGCCACTAGAGGTGCTACCATTCTCCACAATGTTAAAATAATATCCATTCTTTAATCCAATCATGACCCTGAAATGTAACTCTTCATCCAATCAGTGGGGGGAGTGGGGGGGGTGCATGCATCATTACACCACTAATATCAATAATGATTGCACGTCATTTTTCATCATGGTTATCCCTCAGATCAATGCATGTAATAGATAGAGCTTAGATGTAAGCCACTGCACATATAAAGACTTTGCTTCAAATGCTGAACAAATAGTTGAGCAATGTGTTGTTATACTTATATATTGCGAGCACTTCAGATGTATACTGTACAGTATATATGTGGCTTCAGGCTCCTAACTATAGCGCCATATATCCAGACCATGATAATATCCTATAGCCTATAGCCTGGGGCTGTGTTTTAAATATTTGACCTCTGAATGACATGACCTTAATTTCCACAACAATTCTTTTCTGGCCACGAGCGTGACAACTTGAGCTTCCAGTCACATTTCATTTTCCTAAAAAAAGAGACCAAAAAAACCCAGAAGTATTTTTGGAACATTTTCTATTTCACATTAAATATCTTCAAATTATCAATAGCAAAGATTAGAAGTAATTTGCAAGCGCATTTTTCGTTTGAAATGTTTGCAAATATGATTGTTTCCATCGCTGTTAGTTTTGCCAGTGGCCGTATTTTTAAAACTGTTTACTGTCTTAAACCAAAAATGCACTATCGCTTTCAGCAAGGCAAACAGCAATTAGCCACGGGAGTCTTTAAAAAAGTTAAAGGAAAAAAATGGCTTCCTTTCGTCAAACGAAAGCCATTGAGTAGGGCTTGTGGTGTGCTCACTTTTGACGCATTATCTGAAAGGCATCACCATTTGGGGTGAAGATCAATTCCGATCAGATAACCGCCACCAAAACCTTGAGGTCATCGTGTGCTCCTCGAAAATGTATTACATTCTCGCAAGCGTTATTCATGTTTACTTTCCTACAAAAAAACACTTATTTTTGAAAATAGTTTTAAATTATACTTTGAAATAGAAGGCACCTGGAAAATGTATCATTATCTTCTAAATGCAATGCAGCGATAGCTTTATTGTGTTACAATGACCTTGAAGACGCAAGATGAATAAAAGATGCCTGTTTTCAGTCGTGCTGCATAACAACTGGGTTGCTTTTCCTTTGTTACGCTTTGTTTGCATTGCTTCAGGAGCGGAAGTGTCAGTGGACTCACATTAAAACTGATGAAGAAGTCGGTGTCTGAAATGCTGGAAACCCTTTCCGATGATGATTACGTGAATGTAGCATCTGTAAGTATTTGTGACTCAGACATTTTCTTAAAGTACAACCAAAATAGAGAAGTAGTATTATAGTCTGATGTTTGCTCGCCCGGTTTTCAAATGAAATGCATTACCATTATTTCTATGTGGTTATTGTATAGTGTACTTTATAAATCCATGTACAATTAATGGGCTGTTTGCTGATGGCATAAGGGACCAGGAAAATGCTCTGTAAAGTTTTACAAATGAAATAACCGATGGCAGATATTATTGCCCATAGAGTTGTGTGTAATTTAAACTACACTACAACTACTTAGCATTTTACTATTTAAATACGCACGGTATAAACATTGTATTTAAGCGTATAACATATTGCAAACGAATGAGTGTTAAAAAATAAAGTCCCTGACATTTTTACTTTTTTTTGCACGTGTGTTTTTCTCTATTGTTTACTTATTTTTGTATTTTACAGTTTCACAACGAAGCCGTCCCGGTGTCCTGCTTCAATCACTTAGTGCAAGCCAACGTACGCAACAAGCAAATGCTCAGCGAGTCCGTGGAGAAGCTAACTGCCAAGGGAATGACGAACTACAAGGCCGCGTTTACGTACGCGTTTGAGCAGCTCTTAAACGTACGGCTTCCTTTGAACCTCGCAAGGGGCATGCTAATCCACATATTTGGAGGGCTGCAGATACAGCGTGGATGGACGAGAGACATCCCCTCTGAAGTGCTCACAATTGCGCCGTTAATTGTGCAGAGCATACATATGTAAGAGAATCTGATTGTGAAATAAATAAGTAATGTTCGGTACACTGCTTCATTATGATTTAAACAACAATCCATTAAATTAAATACTGTTTTTGTGCTTGCATAGAAATGGGAATTTAACTCCGTTTTTTGCGATGAGTCAAAAAAAGTCTGTGGTCTGCAAATGTTGCAATAACCATTGTAATTAAATAACTATTTATATAAACATGTATATATCTCGCTCTCACGTGTGACAATTGACATCACTTCCTATATGTTCAGACAAGAACAAAATAAGTTTCTTCTTCAGCTCTCCGATGTGTATTTAGGTTGTATCACCTGTTCGGCGTTTTGTCCGACGTTGAAACTCCACGTGCTTTTAGCTTCTTCAGAAACCAATCTGAAGGAACGAAAAAGAAGCTCCTAGCCTGTGGAGCGCAACGTCGGAGACCGTGCCGAACAACACGCGGTACACAACCCTGGGAACCACATCGGAGAGCCACAAAAGAACGACTGTGAACACTCGCACGGTAGCGAGTCCCTTGGTACGTCATTTCGGCCACTTTGTTGTCTTATTCCCCATGAGCAGACCAACGTGACCCGAGCCAACTGCAACAAGATGATCATGATGTTCACCGACGGAGGAGAGGACCGCGCCCAGGACGTTTTTGAGAATTACAACTGGCCGAAAAAAGAGGTGGGTTTTTTTTTACCATCATTCACGACTGTGGTGTATGGCTCTCCAGTGTGCCTGCCATTTGTACTACCGTGTGCTGTCCAGCATGATGTCCGACGTTTCGCCGCGCGAGCTGGGAGCTTGTGCGGTGCGTCCCTGAAAACACATCGGAGAGATGTGTTGTCGGTCGGTTGTGTTTTGGCCTTATTTATATTTTAATTCAGTTTATTTTTAATCTGCGCATATTTCGGAAACACCATGGGTTAAAATTCGCAGCGCGGCCTCATTAAACTTTGCTGCAGCCTCATTATCTTTACGGTGCCTTTACTGCCCTCACCACATCTGCGCATCCGTTGTGGCTCCTGACAGCACTTACATCCGCAATACCTGCAGGCACATGCATTGTGTCTGCACTGACGTAAGCACATGCTCCCATCAAAGCTCTTACACAGCAAACACCTCCTTAATTAGCACTCTGATAACATGTGCTCTGTTTTAATTACTGTAAAATATTACGTTTTGCCGTAAATGGTTGTGCAATATTGTTGTTCCATAATGCAATCTGATCGATTAGAGCCATGGGAAATTACACATGATTTGCAGTACCCCATGCTAAATTTAGCAAAGACAATGCTGAGATTATTTGATCACCACGAAAAGTTGCGTTTTAAACAATTAACTTTTATTAATTGTAAACATTTTACAAATGGTTACCGAGTGCAATTGCAGCCGTTTCAGATACACGTCATCTTTCCAGTGATCGCGAGATCGAATTGCTGAGCAGCTACAGTGTGTACGCTTTTGTTTTAATGATGTTGCCGTTTCTAGAGCCACAGATGACACATCTGCTCTGACAATAATGGTAATAATAATGATATTGGTTTTATTTACTTTCGCGTTTTGTTGGGCTGTAACACTTGACATTTGAAAATTCTCAGATATTTTTTGGGACTCCCAAAAGATTACATCCCACATATGGCGTTGGCTTTCCCCCCTACCTCCCATACTGGGCTTTCATTTCTGTTTATGTTCTCGCTTCCAGTAGCACATGAATAAATGATGAGCTCTGAATATTTCACCACAGAAATATGGAATATAATAATGATGGATTTTTTTTTCACCGTCTTTCTCTAAACTTAATTTTAAAACCGCTGCTTGGAAAAAAGTAAATAGTCATCTGCATTACTGAACTTTTAATAGTCATAATTAAACATGTAATAAGAATAGTATATCTATTGATAAAGCACAATTACAATATTGTGTTATCAACTTAGTTATTCTTATATGGTGACAAGTCCAGCCATGGTTATTTCAGCATTATCTGCATTCACCTATTTTAATTTGTATTTTGTATCCTAGCACTTAAACAATTTTGTTGTTAAACAACAACATTCTTTTTTTTCTATTTCCATAAAATATATCTAATAATTGGTGTTTAAATTGCAAGTGATTTTGGAAATGGGTTAAAAAACAAGCGATGTTAACTCTCAAAACATTGGGCACTGACAATGCCGAAGCAAAGAAAAAAACACATGATTTGCTGACATTTCATGCAGTGCCCATTTTTTGCTCTGTTCTGAAGAAGAATCATCGCCTGAAACATCACCGCATTTTTTTTTCTGTTCGAAAATAGTCATAAGGATAATTGTGGTATTTTTAATTTTTTGCTCAGGCACCACTGCCAACACAATCCATCCTTTTTTTTATTACAAAAAGCATTGAAATCTTGCGTTTAAAATGGTTTTGTGAATTTCTACACGGAAATAGTTAAAGCGTCAGACGTGTGTTCTCGGCATGTAAATTATATGCAGATTGACTTTGTTGATATCAGGTTCAGCTCGACAGCGCAAGTTTTTCCAACACGTTATTGCGTTATCGGTTCAGTATGGCCAATCCTTACTGAGGCAAAACAAACAGAAGTATCTTAAGATTTTTTTTTCATGTTCAGGTTTTTGGTTTGATTTTTCTAAATATGCTATCTTGATTTTTCGATCAAATATGACTACATTGGCAATATATTTTGACACGTAAAATTAATGTTACAGTCTTACGGGCAGGATTCCCAAGGGTTCCTGTAGTGCCCTCTTCTCAGCAGTGTTCACATATCCCACCCATCGTGGCATCGTGGGGTACGTGTCAAAAGGAATGACAAGCTGTGAATTTATTTTATTCCAATACCCCACCCCCACGACCCAATTAGACATTAATAATACACCGTATTGACGTGTGGCTGGACTCTAATATGTACACCCCAAAAGCTATGGATATCCTTGGTTTGTTGATATGTGCAATCATCTTTGCACAATACATGTATTTATATTATGTTACCATTATTTCTCATCTGGCCAGCTTGGAAGTGGAGGCCAAATAACCTCTAAAGGCACTCTCTAGAACCTCCTCTAATGGAGGTCCTTCAGCCAGCAGTGATATGAGCAAGTAATTGCAGGGCTGCACCATTTTACCAAGTATTTCATAATTACAAATTACATAATCATCCTACTATACAAAGATACCGCAATGAGGTTATCACAATAACTGATGCAATGGAAACTAATACATGGAATACAACAACGGGGAAGACCAGATGGGAAGGCACAGCAGACAGAGGCTTGGTGCCATGGGATCTAACAATAACAACAGATGACCTATCACTCGATGGGAAGATATAGCAGACAGAGGCTTGGAACAATAGGTTCTAACAACAAGAGAAGACCTGTGACCAGATGGGAAGATATAGCTGACAAAGAATTGGCACAATGGTTTCTAATAACAACAGAAGTCTTATGACCAGATGGGAAGATATAGCTGACAGAGAATTGTCACAATGGGATCTAACAATAACATCATAAGACCTATTACCAGATGGGAATACACAGCAGACAGAGGCTTGTAACAATGGGATCTAACAACAATAACAACAGCAGAGAATACGGAAAAAAAGATCTAAAGAGGCGGAGGGAACTGTGGATGGGCAGCACGTACAGAAACACAGAATGCCACTTGATGATGATAATGATTATTTCAGTATTCAGTTCAGACAGGTGACCTATGTCTCTTGCTCATCCCAGATTAATTGAGCAGCTGCTCTGGTTGTGGAACCAACACAAGAGCCTAAATGCTTCGATTCCTCGTGTGAAATACCCAGCGAAGAGGCGCAGCTGATGATTTATTACACTTCAAGTAATCCCAGGTGGCTGGCGGCTTTCTATGCCTAATTGACAAGATGTGATGGTGCGATAATGGGGGTAATCGGACAGGTAATTAATAAATACTGCAGCCAATGTCCTATAGCCGAGAGAGATGAGGGTTGGTGAGTGCTTGATCGAGTAGGTTAATGTATTTTTTCCATGCACGACCCTCCAGCCTGTAAAACATCTTAGGGCTCCTTTTGTTTTACGCACCTTAATGAGGAAGTACATAATTGCCACAAGCACAACAGTCAATATCACAGTCACTGCATTGTTGGGTACCTCTCAACAGCAATATTGCAATTTTCAGATTTTTATTCTCAATAATACTCGAATGACTTTAAATATTGTATTAAGTTTAGAGTGGTTAATTTCAGTGTTCCGTGTGTGTGTGTAAGTCTTGAATTTTTTACAAGGCAATTAAAACATATTTTTGTACATGAAGCAAATTATGCAATTCATGTAAAAATGTATAGGGTTAAAACAATGTAACCACATTGTTCCAAATCAACTGCTCGTACACAAAGCTGCTTAATGTGTACTGCGTCGTGATCTATAGATTTTATATCTACGTGACTTTACCGAAATAACCAAAGAGTATGCGTAAAAAAAAAAACCCCATCGTGGATGATATTTTATCCTGCGGGAACACAAACTAGAAAGACGCGTCCACATGTTTCCCGCAGAGAATTTGCTGGAATCTCTGTAGCATTGCCCAAATATAACTACAGTATCCCCCCCACTCCCCACCATGGGGTAGTAAAACTAAAACTCTTGGTTGCACAAGAGGGTACGAACACATAAAAAAAAAATCCAGAGCTCCGTTCACTTGGGGGCATTGCCTTTCTTTCAGGGAGGGTGTTCAGTTTATGTCAACTAAAATAAAGAAAAAGAGTTGGCCCAGCAGGCCTGATGAGCGGTGACATGTTGATAAAAATCGGTTGCGTTTTGATGTTGAAAACAGTTTCACCGTTGCATTGTCGTGCTCGCAACCCTCAGGAGAAGAAAAGAAACGTGTCGGAATGACACCTGTTTAACATGCCTCTGTTGAATCTGACATGTACACAATTCTTCATCGCCAAACACGTTCGTTGTCTGTGGCTTGCATTCACTTCGAGAACCAGCATTGGAATAAAATGATTGCTATAATTTCGCGGCCAATCCTAATTGGCTTTTTTTTTTAGCAACAACGAATTCACGTTATTAGTGCTGTGCTGTTTGGCGTGGGCCATTACAGCTGAGGAATGCTATAGCAGGTTTACACCATCTTAATGGGACAATGTTAGGACTGTAAACTCGGGATGTCTCACACTAATGCGTTTGCTCGAGAAGGAATGCACGCAGAGGATTAATACATTCGTTGAACAAAACAGTGACAAATACAAAGCAAGGGAATGCATTTCTCGAATCGCAATAATTAGAGTATGTGTTGGCCTACGGTCGTTAAAGGAGAAGGCTGCATCTATAGTTTCTGTGTTGAATCAATTAGACAGAGAGGGCTCCTCTAACTCTCTGCATGCACTGCAGTGTTGTCTCAAATTGTCGTCCCCCCCCCCCAATTTCTCTTACAGGTGCGGGTGTTTACCTTCTCCGTGGGACAGCACAATTATAACGTGGCCCCTATTCAGTGGATGGCCTGTGCCAACAAAGGTAAGAGACTTGCGCGCGTACATTCGCGTGTTATTACTGCATGGTGATGCCGACAGCAAAGGTGCAAACGGGCAATAGCTTGCTCGCACGACTGCTGCCGGAAGGGTCTCTACGGTTCGGTATTTGGCCTACGCTTCCACAGTGGCCAGACGTCTTGGAAGAGGTGGGAGCACCCACAATTAACCCAACTCCGGTGCACCCATTTATTCTCCTGGGTGGACAACAACTCGCCCTCTTATTGAACTTGCACGCCACGAGATGGAATTCATGCAGCGACCTTTGGTTTTGCAAGTCCAGTGTGCTAGCCCTAGCAGGACGGCAATGTCCCATTATTATCGCGATGTGTGCATTATCGTGTACGGACATTACGGTGTTGTACAATGTACTCTGCACACGTAATCATTTTTATGGTTAGCGAGGGCAAGATGATTCAAAGTATGCCAACATTTTTCAGGAGGGTTCTGCTTGGGATTTTTGGCCAATTCTTTGAAATATTTGCGAGTATACAGAACTCACAGCTAATTGCATCGCAATATCACTGATAATTGGTTGTTCTTCCACGTTATCAAAATATGTATTTGTATATAAGTGCAATTGATATTTTATCCATACGATTGATTGGCTAACAAGAACTACAATGTATGGCATAACTCAAAATAATCATTAGCATTGTGGAGAATATAATTGACAAAACAGATAAACAAACAACATGTAATCTTAATATATCTGAATCTCAAAAACTGGCAGTTCACCAGCACTGGTTCAAGCAAGACTGACTCTGCTGCTGAGACACTATGTCGAAACTGGTCCAGAGTCTGCTTGTGCTGAATCAATGTTGCTGACATGCTCTCCCAGAAGGCCGTGAGGCCAATTGGGTTGTATAAAGAATACTTTTCTGTTTATGTTGATAGATATATGAAGAAGTAAAGCCTCTGCTTATATACATGCAATGTGTTCTTGTATTGATGTGATTTCTTTGAAAGATTCCCTTTTTCCGAAATGTTTGTCATTAATTTAAACATTTGTTTGGTTATATTGATAGGAAATTATTAAGGTTACTGCACGGTACAGATAATTAAAATGGCATGCCATTTTTAAATGTCAGATGTTTTTCTCATGGAACAATACATGTAGCATTTTCTGATGGAACTTTAACATTTAATACCCTTAAGAAAAGCAATACCACTGCCATCCCTGCATACTGTGATGTCTTGAAAGATCAAACCTTGAATTTAATCTTCTGCTTGGCTGCTTCAGGGTTTTATTTTGAAATCCCTTCCATTGGCGCCATCCGCATTAACACTCAGGTGAGTCTCCGATTATTTGAGCCAGTACACATTTTTGCAGTATTTTGATTGTAAGTCATGCATTAAAGCTACTACAAGTGCACTGATCCAAATAACATCAACTTGGATTCCATTAAACTGGCAGCTAAGGTAATTCTAACCAGTGTAATTGCTTCCAATTCAGAACCTTTTCTCATCCTAATTTTACTAGGCTTAACGTGTTTCATGGCCAATCACCGTTTACTGCATGGCGTGTAAAGTATGCCCCTTGATTGGACATAGTGTGAATGTAAATTACAAAGGTGCAGATATTTATTAAACATCATCATTATTGGGGGTTTATTGACAATTATTTCCACGCAGACCTTTTTAACAAATTAGCATTGCTCGAGTAGCAAGACGTCATTTGCAAAGATGACATCAGGATTTAATATTATCTTAATACATGTTACTTTTATGAAAGCAAATGTGCTCACACATACTGTAATTGCATAGACGTACTAATATCTTCCGGTTAAACTTACCAAGATGTTAGATTCGAAGCAACATAAAGGGGTTTTTTTTTCTTTGACAAAATATTTCCAAGGAATGCAAAATTCAACGGCAAAACACTTTGTAATTTTTCCCACAATTGTGTCATGATTGTGTTGTTGGCGTCATGTCCCAAGATAAGCCTCCGGTTGGATCGCTTAAGCTTTTTTGTTTTAAACAAAACATGGAAAAGACTTAAAAGCCAATGAGTGTACCGATAGTTTATCATAAGAAGCAAAACGGTAGGGTTAAGCTAAATGGCATGCACCTTAATGGCAAAGAAAATGGTAAGTGTCATGATTCCACGGGGGCAGTGATAACTCACGATAGCTGTGAGGGGCTTACAAAAGAATTTGAACTGAAGGGGTGAATCGAAAATGGGAGTTTAAGCCTGTAGACAACCTTGCTTCATGAATAAGAAACCACAAAGCTGAAGGCTTTTACAGCCACCGATACAATGTCCCTGGGGATTGTGCAGGGAATGGAGGGAAGTCGTAGATTCACAAGAGTTGGACTGAGAAAAAAAAGTAATTTTAAATGACAGAGAAGGATATTTCATCTGTCTCTAAATAAACACATGATATATACATACGCAATATATTTTTTAATATTCGAATGAAAACGGAAAATAAATGAAACGATAGTGTTTATAAAGTGGGGCCAAATAATGTATTTGGCATAGTCTGCTTATATTGTTTCCTTAGCAGGAATAAATGAACGGTTGATTTACATGTGAATACTATGAGTGTGGATTATCGATATGAAACATGTGGAATATGAAAATTAGTAGGGAGTATGTTATACACGCAAAGCATTGAGGCCATGGTTGACACTGCCCATGTGTGGACACTGCTCGCATTAGCCACCCCGGGTGTTCCCAACCTACCCCATTGGCTAATAAAATGAAGCTAAAACTGAAACCCCATTGGCTCATGGGCCATGTAGCATGGCTTTGCGTGAGGTATGAACCATAGGCCCGAGTCATGGGCCGTCCCACAACCGTAGAGGAATGAGAGAGGCGAGCCGTTCGGAATACAGATGAGATGTTTGCCACAAGAGCGAGAAGCACATTTCATGCTCTTTGCTTCATTATTATTTAATATGCATTTTTGAGAATGCTGGGTTGTGATTCCAAAGGCAGCAGGGGAAAATGGAAATCCTTCACTTGTGGAAGTAACGAGTGTTGGAATTGGCTGTCCACTAGGCATGTAAGTAATGATTACAGCAGCGCAGGAAGATTCACTCTAAGTGTATGGGCAATGTGGCAGTACCCCAGCACCCAGACTGTGTGTAACAGTGACCAAATGTGGTAGGCTTTACCGCTTTCTTCCGTTTCCAGTAAATTGTTTGGGATTTAAGCTCCCATATCAAATGGCCACGTCACACGTGAAAGGCTGAACGTCAAGGGTGGATGGACTGTTGCCACCAAATGGACAGCACATGGAATATAACAGCAGACCAAAATTTAATAACTCTCTTTCCTTGTTTGGTTCTACTTGAAAGCAGAACCATGGAAATAGTCAAACCTTGTTTTCTTTTAATTTTCATTGCTTATCCCAATGATTGCTTTTAGCGGTTTGGCCAACAGATTAAGCCAACGATCTCAACAGAAGGGATCTTATCTACTTTGTCTTCATAGTATAAATGCTCATGATGTTACGTGTTGGTTCATACCACTGGCACACGATTCCCCACCCTTCCGATGAATGCCACATTATTTAATTGAACACGTAGGCTTTCGCGATCAATATTATTCATAATAAAGGTTTTTGGGTTAGATCGTGTTAAATGATGACGTCACCCTGCTGCTCTATTTAAGACCGGGAGCAAGTGAGGGCTTTACCATTCTGGCGAATTGCCCGATGATGCTGGATGTAATTACCAGCGAAACGTCGTACTCAAATTTTAAATGATGTTGATTCACTCTTAAACACACCGGTGGGCTAAAGTAGTGAACTATTTGTCCTTTGTAAACGTGACACATTCTTTACTGTTTGGCCGTGTCGTTACTATGAATATTATTTAATGTACATGTTACAGCAAATGGTATGCTTTCTCAGTATCCCTCACCATTACATCACAAATATTAAACCACTGCCACTGTTGCAATTGCAATAACTACTGGAATAATACGGTGTTCCAGTCACAGTACTGTAGTTTGATATAATTCATCATTGAAACCTCATACCATTGTTTTTTTATCAAATATGTCAGTAAATTACTTACAGTGCCTCTGCAATGTATTGACTTATATGAAACAAATATTAGACGTGTTCTATTTCTAATTCATGATTTTAAAATGGTGTGAAAATCTAAACAACTAAAGAATATAAGTTACATTTTTTAAACACTCGGACATTTATATGGCTAGATTGTAAGAACAGTGCCGCTGTTTTCTGAAGATATTGTTATGGGAGAGAAGTTCAAATACTGGGCACGGATCTGCTTAATTTAGCGCACATTTAGCTTGACACAGAATAGGCAAAGACATTATCTTTGACGCTCATTCCACACACGGTCTCAGGCTATGCATGCATGGTAGAATTTGCTTAAATATCTAAATTACTGCAGTTCATATGTGTGATGAAAACACGGTGACAAGTGTTATTGGCTCTGTGTGAAAAGAGAATTAAATCCCAGACACTTATTTTCTTCTTTTGTGTTTTTTTTGCTGTAATTTATAACAGCATGTGAGCTGTTAAAAATTGCAATAATAGTGGAAGATGTCACGTAAATGACCTGTGGGGTTTTTTTTGTATTGTGCCAAATCAATCTTGCGAGGCTTCGTGCGTTTATTTATTTATTCATCACCCGACTTGTTTATGTACATGCGGTGTAAAAACTAGTTTGTGTGCGTGCATATGTATAAAGTAGAGAATTATTGTTTTAATATCAGCAGTTGGGGTTTTTTTTAGCTGACATGATTTTTTTTTATAACTCGGCATAGAATAATTATACGGTCATTCCTTTAGATGTCAGTTATTATGTACTTCGTAAGGAATATATACATATATTCAGCTTCGTAGCCACTTTTGCTTGCGAAACAAGCCATCGTTACAAGTCTCAACAAAAAGAACACACCCCTTTGTGCATTCCCTAAACTGTTGACAGCCAAGCGTATCAATAGTTCGAAACTTGGTAACAGTTGATGTCCTGCCAGTGACTTGATAAGAAAAGCTGTTAGCCTTTTTGGTTCAAGCGATGGCCCATAAGACTATGGGGGTCACCTTTATCCCCTCTGAGGGATAGCAAGCGTTACGCCATTCTCATTAAACTCTATTATCTTTTGTCAGCAAATGGGAAGGAAGGTGACTTGATGTTTTAACAACACCTAATTTGCAAGCAGCAGATGCATCAGCGCGGAAGGCGCTTGCAATTTATAAACCCTGCGGTATCAAAGTAGTGTTGTTGCGTGCAGCTACTATCACTTAGGCAGTAAATAAATGCAAATGTGTTGATCACGTGGGTTATCTTGAACACCAACTACGGTGTTTCGTGGTAGGAAGTAACAATTCCCTTGCCTAAGCCACACATTTTTTGAGATGATGATCCACGGCGAATGCGGTTTTAAATCTGGCATACATGTTTTTGAACATGCTGCGAGATGATGTGCGTAGCATCTCTCTGAAGTCCCTGTGATGGGAAGAAAAGATTGGTAACATAGAACATTAGCACTGGCTTTGCGGTGAGAAGTCGCCAGCGTGAACATTACTTATTTGTGGATCCTCGCGCAGTTGCGTTACATCCAGGACCACCTGCTGTAATACAATGGGGACAATGGGTATCATGAGCCATGCACTCATGCTGCTCGTAAATTGTAAGGCTGAGAGAGTCCACACTGAAAACATGAATAGTGTAGGATTATTTTGTGGAGCGGATTGGGTTTTTAGAACAAAGTGTAACAACAAATGTTCTTATCCCATTTGTGAAGTCATGAAAAACAAACATTTTACAGTTCATCAAACAAACATTATCTCTTGGTTCCCTATATAGATTTTTTTCATGTATGATTTTCTCCAATTTTATTCCAAGCGTAGCTATCGGCATCATTTTTCGAGATGAAGAAATGTCTATTCAGAACTCTTGCAAACCAATGCACCACTGTATATTCGATAAAAGCCTGCACAAGCCGATATCACAGAATTACTTTTGAAATTACTTCAAATAACTTGTTATTCACACTAGGGGCATTAGACATTTGCACATGCCCTGTTACAGAGACGTTTGTCCTATGTATGACAGTCAGCCTGATTTTTATGTTAAAAAGATCGGGAAAATTGTATGTTATTGTGACAGGATTCAAACCTAGGATCTCAGTGGTGCTGGCTATGTGCTCTGACTCTATAATAGAAAATTAATATCCATGGGAGAATCCAGTGATGCCACACTGTCACCCCCCCCCCCCCCCCCCCCCTCTATGGATATAATTACTGTAGACTACGAATGATAGAGCATTAATACGATTCCTTACTGCTTTCTTAAGGATTATCTGGATGTCCTTGGAAGACCTATGGTACTGGCAGGACCCAAGGCCAAGAAGGTGCAATGGACAAATGTCTACAAGGATGCATTGGTAAGGCATGGCACGCAAACCGCATTCAGACGGTCTGCAGACAGCATTTGCCACTGAGTATATCTGTCAGGGTCTCCCAGTGGTAGCAGGTCACTGAATTTAATTTGTTAAAATTGCATGACCTTCTGAAATGTTACGAATCTGCCGCATTTCGCAAGGCTATGGCTGGAAATGATGAGATGTTATGTTTACCTGGAGGTGTTTTTTTTTACTACATGTGTTTAATTTAGTAGGCATCCACCACACCTGCCCCAGAATATCTTGACTGCAAACAAAAACGCAACCTGGATGCAGTAAGAGAGATAACTACACACATGCTCTATGAATAACATATTGCCTGAGTTGGGTTTTCAATGCCCAGAGGACAAAACACATTTTCTACATCAAATAGGCCAAAATAAACCATATGTTGTATAATTGCACATTTTACCTTTTTGACATTTATTTTACTAACTGTTCCACATGCAAGAAAAGAATACGTAATTTTTTTTTATGGCTAATTCTTTCAGATAAACACAATCCTCACGCTCTCGCAAAAAAAAGTCGTTTAATTTAGCAAAGAAGCAGTGTAATTTGTTACGCGGTTCAGATTAGCATACAAGCTTTACAGTTGACACCGCGCAACTGTGCATGCAAATTTGAAGCGTAGTGCTCCGGTTCTTGGTTGCCTTGCTGAATTATTGTGTGACACATAGATGCTGGGGCAGGTCAATAGAAGTTAACAATAAGGTGCACAAAAGAGTTAAACAAAGTCAATTTGTCGTTTGTTTTAAAGCCCCCACCTTTATGTGCTGACAAAATAAATATTGGGTCGAGCAGCGGTGCAGTGGTTTTAGCGCATTGCACGATGAACCCAAACATACCTAAGTGTTATAGCCAGCAAATTATAATTAAATGGCCTGGTTCACAAACCCCACATTGACCAGCATGGTAAAGTATAGTAAAAAAAAAACTCCCATGAGTCACATGGCTTGGGGAGGCCTGCATGAAGAAGTGGATTGCCAATGAGCTGTAAATTATTATTATTATGAATTATATTCAATTTCACACACATTTATACCGAAGCTATTTAATAATCAACAGCTTGGACGTAGAGGACAAACCTGTGAAGCCCTGAAAAAAAAAGAATCCAGTTTAGAATTGCATGCTATTACCAGAGCAAATCACGTGAATTTCCCAGCCATCTGCTTTTGGGTTTGTTGTGCAATCAATGGGCAAATAAAATTCCGGAGGTGAGGTGTTTGTCCAAATCTTTACTTACAGGCAGATGAAATGTGAAGGCAGTATAAACTGGTGAGCAGCGAGGTCACCAAAATGTGCATGGTTATTTAATGCAGTCATTTTATGTTCTGCGGTGAGGATCAGTGCCTTTCGTGTCCGTGTATATTGGCATGTTAAGCATGCGAAAACCTGTGGCATTAAACACGGGTGAACATTCGCATTGTGTCTATACTGGTTACAAATCCCATACATGCCCTCTATGTGTGCTTGAATCGTTTGTTGTAGTTATTTGGGGGGAGAAAACATGGGTGAAATTATGAAGCCATGCAGGATTATTTTTTTTAAAGTGAAACATCATTATCATTGCACTGATCAATACTCGTTAACAATATCATTATAATCAGCCATGGTCAATCCACTGCTGGATGAAGGCATCCGTCAAGTCTCCGGCATCTCCTGCAATCCACACAATGCAGCAATCCACCCAGTGCATGCAACACGAGCCGATTTCCTTGCTCCAGGAAAACCAGAGAACTCGGAGGAAAGCCATGAATGTCAAGAGAATAGAAAGCTGCGCACAGATAGAATCAAGATTCCATCATTGTTGTACTACCACCTCACAACCCCAAGCTCCTGTAATTGCAGTCCCGAGTCACCATCGTTATTATTTATTTATGTTTGCTGAGGGCACGAGATACCGAGATTGCAACACTCACCCCGCCGTTCCGTGCCGTTTCTCTTTAGAACCTGGGTCTGGTCATCACGGGCACCATGCCAGTGTTCAACATAAGCAAGAACGCAGGAGAGCAGGTAATGGGGGTATGGGGGCGGGAGAGAAACTCATGCGAGTATGATTCGTAGGTGTGCTGTGGTGTAGGTTAGGCAATAAATTGAGCTTGTGATTGAATGAAAAAAAATGTCTGTTCGACTTGTAGCGTTTTTAAAAAGCATGCTGCATTTTTTAAATACATTTGAAAGTATGTAGCCAGCTGCTGTAAACTACAACCCGTGGTTCACTCACCGTGGAGGCAAGTGTGCCGCTGTGTGCGTGCTCACACTTAGCGGGGCAACAGCTGCTCGTGACTTGGAGGCTGCTGGAAATTCTCCGTGCATCTTAGTATGCAAAAGCGGCCGAATAGACGTTAAACTGCACATGCGATGAAAATGTCAGATGCCCAAGTTGCCCAATGGCGCTGTCACCTGCTTGTATGTACCGTACGTATGTTGAACTTCTTTCGCGCCGTACGTAGCCAACCGTGCTCAACGGAGGTGCGGGGGAAGGACAACAAACTAAGCGCAAAAAATGCAATCACCGCTTTGCAATCATAAACGTACGAGGCTCGAGCCACGTCTTTAACATGGCACTCCATCGTGTTTTTGGGTTGTTCCGCGTGTTGCACAGAATGGCGTCTGACGTTTCGCTCCACTCGATAATGCAGAAACCGAATATTAAGATTTTAGGTACAAGATTAAAAAAAACTAAACACTGTAGAGAGCCGCGAAAAGCTATGCAGTACGTGAGATTGTGTAACTCTGGAGTCCTCAACCAGGGTCTGCGTAACACTGTGGGGATGAAGGTATTGCTGGTGGATTTTGCCAAATGCAAATATGGAATTCGCAGCGGTCAGTCAAGTGCCAACAGGTCAGTGAGCGTAATTGGGGATCCATGGACCGATCTGCTCTTGTATGCCAACAACTGGTATGGCTTCATCCAGAGGTTCAATCATACATGTGTTTCATTACTTCCGCATTTACAATTGTGCATTACTGCTCACTAAAAAGTGGGGGGGGGGGTCTGTGAAATGTTTATAATGGTCATAAGACAACCTTGTTCTGCAAAAGTTTGAGGCAACCATGTGACGTTAATGTGGATGAAAGTTGTACACAATCAATGTTTGATTTAAATCTGGGAGCCACAAGGCCAAGGACGTGGCCAAGGCCAGGAGCCTCAAATTTAAGGCCGGTCAAGGCCGGTCAAGGCCAGATCCTGTTTGCTTAGGCCGGTGTTATTGCCACCCATCTTTTTATATTGAGGCTGATGCTGCGGATGGTGCCTCCAAGGCCACGGCACCAGGGCCAAGGTCAAGGACAAGAGCTGAGACAGTCCCCAAGCCAGCCTCAAGGCCCAGGATTAGTGTTGAGGACCCAAGACTGGTGAAAGTAAAAATGTGTGGGATAGCCATCAGTGTGGCCTCCCTACAGTTTATCGGCTGTTTTGCTGTATAAATGTGTATGTTTACAGTCCGTCATATATCCACCATATTTACGTGGATTGTATAATATGCCACGACTTTCAAACACAATCATATCAAGCTACTCTAGTGGGACAGACCGCACTGTGGTCAATATCTGTCTTATACTGTACTCTAATTATGATGTGGAAGGCCATTCGATATTGCAGATCATATTTAATGATTATATGCTCTGGATGAAAAAAATATAACAAACTGAATAAGGTGTGTGATAAATGATGAAGCTCTTTGTCCTAGTGGCTAATGGTTTCAGAAAGGGGGAAAATAATGAAGGTTTGTGTTTAATTTTAGCCATGCAGACAAAATACATGTTTCGGTTTAAATATCAATCCTTGTTATAATAGCTTCTATTTATCAGTACTGTTTTTTTAATTGTTTGTCCAAAAATTCGGTACAATATTTTCATATTGTTTAGCAACACGGTGAGTATGAATTTTAAAACTTCTGTTCTCTGGCTGACATTTTGGTATTAAGCCTTGTATGGAAAAAAATACCGCTTGACATTACGGAAAGCCATTTTCAAATAACTTGCCAACGTAATGCGTGGAGGAATTAGAAAAGTTAAAATGGTGCACGAGCCCTTTCATGTGCTGTGTTATGGCAATGCATATTTTTTTTTTTAAATGGGTTTCAAATTTATCTCATTGATGTCCTCTTCCTGAGATTCCACGATAGCTGCATTTTTTCTTACGCGAGCCTGTGGGTCGCCACATGCTCAATTTGGGCCTATATGTGCAGGAACTTATATCTTGTTTCTGGCAAAGGAGGTCTCATAATGTAAATGCTCACCCCGAGCCCTCAATACTCTGATAGTGCGCTGTTTTTGAGTTGTACGCCTTTTGGCGTCTTCTGGTCCAACACCAATGGAGACTAGGCTCTAAGAAAAGCCGTCTCGGGTGTGGACCAATCAAATTCAAGGACAGTGCATATTATTATCAGAGTTGTCTTTTTTGTTTGCATTTTGACTGCTTGTGTTGTGGTTATTGCAAACATGATGCCTTGAATAAAGGTGTCAGTTTTTGTGCCAGTTAAAAGGGTAAAACCTATTCCTATAACTTATTTGTTGCTGTTTATTGCTGACTGCGTTTTTGGGAGCCTTTGGCCTTGTGCTCAGTCACCTTGAGAAAACATAACTTTTTACGGCACTCGCAATGTAACCTAATCTTACGTTTTTGCACCGCCTCAGATACTAAACACATTTCCTGTGATGTTTTGTCAAAGGTTGTGAGATACTGCATGCACATACATGCATACCGTGCTGTCTCTCTTGACGATGCTGTTCCCAGCAGAATCAGTTGCTGCTTGGCGTGATGGGAGTTGACATATCGCTCGACGACATAAAGAAGCTTACCACGCAGTACAATGTGAGACTTGCACTTTCAAAATAAAACAGTTTGTGTAATGCTGAAGAGCGATGTATATTTTTTTAGGTTTCATACCAGGAGTGGATTATCTAGAATAGTATAAAAATACAAATAAGGCATGCGGGTTGCACATTTTGGTCCTGCTAAATGCATGGGGGAAATGCTCTGATTGTGTCATTCTGAGACTAAACCAGCCTTGTAGGTTTGCTTTATCCAAGTGGAGGTGTGAAAATGAACACCCCCCCCCACCCCACCCCTCTCCTCCCCATCCACTCTCATCCACACTTACCTGAAATAACACATGGTGTATATGTTCACACCTCTCTTGCACAGCTGTCTAAGCTGCAAGCAGGCGATACCGGGAAAAGACACGTGAAGTGTGAACATTTTTTTTGCAGCATATCAAGCGCGCTGCTGAACAGTGCACTGTCTCTCATCATCAAGTCGGAAACATTTGCATGCTAATTGTTAAGCGCGGCCGTTTTATCGTTAGCTATGTTGGTTATGTATTCAAGCAAGACGGCAATTTTGACACGCAAGTGTCATCCTCGTTGACCTCACTATTATTTAGCTTGTTAATGGTCTGATTTGTGTTCACCGTGCGCGTTTGGCACAGCTAAACAATTGTCTGTTTTTGAATCACTAATTGGATGTTAAAATACTAATCAATTTCTCGAGCCTTGTTTGTCACTGCTGGGGTTGTTGTTTTTTTTGTCTGCAATAACTTCACCACCGTCTGCCACGTGCTTTTGTTGATGACTGCAGCTCGGTCCGAACGGCTACTTCTTTGCAATAGACCCCAACGGCTACGTGCTGCTTCACCCCAACCTGAAACCCAAGGTACTGAGCCCCGCTGTGTCTGCTCTGGGCTCCATGTGCACCAGAAGCAGCATCACATGCTCACTAAAGTGTTCATCTCTTTTTCATAGTGCGCGGTTTTTTTTTTACGTAGTAACTGCATTTCATTGTATGATTAGGCAAAACATTGTTGCGCTGAGTAAGACGTGTGTAGGATGGAGGATCGCTGCGGTGGCGAGATGTTCACTCCCTCGCCTGGTATACAGGAGGTCGTGGGTTCGATCCCGACCCTGACCCTGACGCCTGTATATTTTGAGTTTGCATGTTCTCCCCGTGTTTGCGTGGATTTTTTGTCCGGGTCCTCCGATTTTTTCGCTCCACATGTAGGTTCAGCATGCGTTTAACGTATTTGGCTGCTATAAATTTCCACGTGATAAGCCACTTAGTTGAGCTGTCATTTGTGGCCAGGTCGCTTCTGAAAATGAGCTGTATAGCTCAGTGGGCCTTACCTGGTAAACAAAAAAATAGTTTAGTTGCAGTTACCGAGATTAACATTTAAATGGTATCCGTGATTCTGGCGACCAAGGGGAAGACATAAGAGTAGATGGTGGGAGGCTGTCTGGGTGGATATTTGAGGTCGCTGAGTGTCTAGTCTGCGGCAGCTGCGGGATCTGGCAGAGAGGAGAAAGCATTGGCGAGGTGCAGTGGTATCTTGTCCACAGTATCTTGAGATTTGTATTAGATTTTCTGTTGAATAAATATTATACTCTCTGGTTCTTTCGGTAAAGTCACGTAGATAGAAAAAATAATAAAAGAAAACACGACGTTTCGGTCGCAACACCAGCGGCCGTCTTCAGGTGAGATCAAATCAAGATTAAATAAATATAGATTTCTTTTTTTAGATTGTGACATCTTTAAATGTGTTGTCATGTGGGGTTCTTAGATTTATCAAATTGCCTATTTTATTTTTAATTCCACGTTAATTTTCCCTCTGTTTACAATCGTCACAACAACTTGCGCTGGTAAGAGCGACTTGGGTCTGCTGCAGGAATTCATGCTGACAAAAGCAACAAAATCCCCCTGTAGGATTGTTTTTTTTATTTACAAGAGCACCTGAGATGATTTCGTGCGGCCAATCAAGATAAGCTATTAGAGATTACATTTAAATTATTTAACCATTCAACTGCTTCGTCTGCGAGTTGGTGAATTGCAGATACCCTGCCCACAAGGTTATATTTCGGGCAGTGCGAAGTTATACAGTCCATGGTTTGGCATTCATCGCCCGCAGTTGCACAGAGGAAGAGTATGCTCTATTTTCTACTTGTGCAGTTGGTGTTCACGCTTTCTGTGCTTTGTGCAAATCCGGTTAAGCACTGCCCATTGTTTCCATACCAGATGGAACCCAGGCAGTGTGGTGGTGGGCTCGCGGATGAGCTTGTGTGTTGTGGAAACCCGGCATTGTGGTTTTGGGACCACTGATCAGGTGTTTGTTGGGCACGTTGGCTGAACCCCACGAATTGGTCCCCACTACTTCGATGCTGAAATTCACGTCATGCTGAGTTTGTTGATGTTTCCAGAACGGCTTTCTGGGGGAGCACCCTTGCTGACAAATCAACAAGCAACGCCATATTAACAAGCAGCGGCATTGTGCTAACAGTTTATTATTTACCCTGTACGATGCTGAACTGTGGCTGCTGCAGTATCTGCATGCTGACATGCGTGTAATGATCGCTTTGCAGTGACATTGACAACTGCATTGCTAGCATCTCAATGTGCCCAGCCTGGTTCTAAATGAACAAATTGATTTATAGTCCTCTAATAATCAGATATCCCCGAGACGTAAATTATATGGTGCAGGTTTTTCAGTAAATGGTGTGCTGATTAATTCTCGCTCTGTGACTGATTATTCGAGCAATCTAGCTGCTGGCTTCAAGTCGGCGTGAGTCTCATGCTGCCGAAAGGCACACTCCGCTTTACAATCTGCCTCATGGTTGCGAGAGTTTGTCCGTTCCTTGCCGTGCGACACCAATTATTATGCTCCCCATCTCCTACAGGCACTGAAGGCCTTCATGTTTCCTCGCAATCTGGAAGAGAGTTAAACTGAAAATGCATCTTTATCCGTGGTAGTCGTTTGGTGTTTTTCTGCGGGGGGGGATATGGTGAGGTGGGTAAATGTGGATCATTTGCATCATGAGAACAGAGACTTTCTGGCCTACCCGACCACAGGGCACTCTACGATTTAAATTGAGCTCACGGTGAATGTCACAACGATGTCGTTTTCCATCACGGTTTGTTGACAACTCGAACACGCCGTTGTAAATTTAAGTACGGAGTTTACAGTACCGTTCCATCGATATATGCATAATGTTTATAGCATGTTTCGTGAGATTATAAACCTCACATGGACTAAAACATGCTTGCATTTCCTTCGCCGCAATCCTCCTTTTGCCCATAGCCGCCCTTGCATCTTGTAATCTTCTTGCAACAAAGGCGCAGATGCCGCTGCGCGCCCCGATTGCCGCCAGTATGCGGGGGGATGCAAAGGCAGAGGAGGGGGAAGGTGGGAATCGCTGGTGATGTGTTCCTACCAAGTCCGATCAGTTGTGACTTGCCACATGTGATAGAGAGCATCGGCGCGGTGGCAAATGACCGGCAACAACACGCCGAGTGGCCAGAAAGTTCCCTGCAGGGCACTCTTGATGAATGCAGCTTGGTCGGAATGGGCTGTAGGCAGCAGTGGGCACTCACATCGGTGTGCCTTTGATAGGACCTCCCCCACACCCATAAGGGGACATTACCTCCCTGAGCACGTGAACCTTATGGCGGGACCCCGGGGTCCCGAATAAACGGAAGTCAAAATCGTAATGAATTATTGCATTTTTTGGCGACTCCGTCCCACCGCACACATAAACGCCGTGACCCACCTGGCGCGGATGGTTCTGTTGTCATGTCGTGTACAAGCGCAGCAGCGAGGACGAATGCGCAGAAGAAACAAAACTTTGATTCGCGCATCGTGTAGAGCTCGTCGAAAGGAACAGATCGCCATGTCGTTCGCCTTCAACAGACATAAAATGACGTCGCAGCGCAGTTTATGGGAGAGCCGGGGGCTTATGGTGCCCATGGGACCCGCCATAAGGTTCACTTGCATAACAACCTCACTTTGTGTTCCTTTGTGACCGTGCTCAATACGTTAGGGGTTGTGTCTATGTTAGGGGTTTGTGTGTGTGTGTCTGTGTGTGTGTGTCTGTGTGTCTGTGTTTCTGTGTGTGTCTGTGTTTCTGTGTGGCTGTGTGTGTCTGTGTGTGTGTGGCTACTTTGGGCTCGCCTTCCCATCAACCGGAGGCGCGGAGTGGTGGTTGTGGCTACTTATGCCCCCACCGAAGACGAACATGGAGGGACGCAGGCAAGGCCGATGAGTCGGATGCCTTCTATGACCTCCTGTCACAGGTGCTGGCTAAAGTGGCCCCTCGGGAAAGAGTCATCTTGTTGGGTGACTTCAATGCCCGAGTTGGTCATGATGCTGGCACCTGGTCTGAAGTGATTGGAAGGCATGGGCTAGATCAGCTCAATAACAACGGTAGGAGGCTGCTAGATTTTTGTGCAGCCCATGGGCTTGTAATTACCAACACGCTGTTCAGGCATCGGCGCATCCACACAGCATCATGGATGCATTCCGGGTCCGAGCAAGAACATCTGCTGGACTACATAGTGACGGATCAGCGGATGCGGGCCCATGTCCTTGACACCAGGACCTACCGTGGAGCTGATCTGCCCTCTGACCATCGACTTGTCATCTGTAAGATGCGCCTGCCATTCTTCCACTCCGGTGGTGGGTGTACACCCAGGACCCCATTCCAACCTAAGGTGGCCTGATCTCAGCTAGCTGATGAAAGTTGCTTGCGGCTGGGGTTGGCATCGCGCCCCGCTCCTCCAGATGTCGAGGGTAAATGGGCGAGGTTTAGGACTGTGACTCATGCAGCTGCAATGGCTGCTTTTGGTACGCGGTCCAGACCTCCCCAGAGACCCTGGCTGACAGAGGAGGTGTTCAGGATAGTTGAGAAAAAGCGACAGGCCCACTCTAATCGTCTACAGCATCCCACGACAGAGAATGAGGAGGCTTACCGCAGCCTTCGCTCGGAGGTTCGGAGAGCCGTGAGGCGCTGCAAGGATGGGTGGTGGTCGCGGGTTGCTGTGGAGATGGAATCTGCCTCAGTGGCCTGCGATCACAAATCCCTATTTAACGCCATCAAACAAGTAACCTGCAGCACCACACCTATTACCATCATTAGGGGAAAAACTGGTGATCCAATCTCCGACCCCCAGGAACAGGTTTGCAGATTTGCTGAGCATTTCTGTGAAGTCCTGGGGGAGGGGAAATCCCTCGACATGGGAAACATCATGGGACAAAGTGGGGATGACCCTGCGAAGGCTGCGGTGCCTCAAATATTTGAAGAAGTCACCCCCTGTGAGTGGCTGGCTGAGGTGCCATCTGTTGAGGAAGTACTAAAGGCGATCCAGAGTCTGAGGCCAGGAAAGGCACCGGGCAGAGGTGATCTCCCAAGCGAAATGCTGAGGGAGGGTGGCGTTTGTGCACAGACTGCCCTACATGATGTAACAACAGTCTGGACCACTGGACGGGTTCCGCAGGACTGGAAGGATGCCCTGGTGGTCCCCCTCTTTAAGAAGGGGGACCGCACAGACTGTAACAACTACAGGGCCATCTCACTCCTCAGTGTGCCGGGAAAGGTCCTGGCAAGGATTATTCAACATCGCCTTGTTAGGCACGCTGAGGAGAGGCTTGCAGAGCCTCAATGTGGTTTCAGGAAAGGGTGGTCCTGCACGGATGCCATATTTTCTGTCCGTCTGCTACAGCAGTGTAGGGAATTCCAACAAGACCTACATCTCTGCCTTATTGACCTGGCCAAGGCCTATGATACCATCAGTAGGCCTGGGCTCTGGGTTGTTCTTCGTGCTTTTGGAGTCCCTGACCCTCTGCTCACGATCATTAAGGACCTTCATGATGATGAGCGGGCCCGGGTAAAACTACGTGGCCAGGAGTCAGAGCCATTCCCTGTACACCTTGGGGTGCGACAGGGATGTCCTCTGGCTCCCACATTATTTAACATCTTTTTTGACTACGTAGTTCGTGAGGCCTTCAATAGCTGTACCAGAGAAATTTCCATCTGGTACAGATATAATGGGAGGCTGATCGATGCCTGGGTTCGGTCAAGGGATGGCTCCCTATTGCTCAACCATTTTATGTATGCCGATGATTTGGTAATAGCTGCTCATTCAGAGGAGGAGTTGGAGACGGTGCTGCTGAGACTGGAGCTTGCCACTAAGAGGTTTGGACCTTACCATCAGCCCCACCAAAACTAAGCACCTGCCAGGGTATTTTGTACCATCGGACACTCCACCCCCACAACTCCTAATTGGTGATGGGTAAGTTGTGGAGAAAGTGGAGAGTTTCCCATATCTGGGCAGTGTGCTTATGACCGGCTGCGGTTTAGCAGCAGAGGTCTCACTCCGAATCAGTCGAGCGCCATTATCTTTTCATCGGTTGCGTAACGCTGTGTGGAAGCTACCTGGTCTGTCGCTCCGCACGAAGCTTCAGGTCTTCTCGGCCACAGTCAATCCCTCCCTTCTCTACGCTTGCGAAACGTGAACCCCCCTAATAGTACATCTTTGCCGGTTAGAAACATTTAGGCTGGCCTGCCTATGATCCATCCTGGGTTTAACCAGGCTGGATTGTGTGCGGAGCTCACAAATCCTTGAAAGATCTGGACAAAGTCCCATCGGTGAGCTCCAGCAGGCAAGGCTGCGTTGGCTGGGCCATGTAGCCCACATGCCCAGTCACCGCATGTCTAAACAGCTTTTGTTCGGCCGGATCTAGGGGGCTAAACGGGCGCGGCACGGGCTCGAGAAGAGATAGAGTGATGTGGTAGAGGAGAATGTGGAGCTGAGTGGACTTGCCGATGACTGGTACCAGCGGTGTCAAGATCGGCCTCTGTGGAGGAGGCTCGTGAAGAACGCTACTGGGCAGTTGGAGGCAGTCACCCTCCAACAACAACGGAGGGCGGAGGACCCACGCTCACAACAACGAGCGGAGCGCCGGGTGGCTAAAGCACAGCAAGTTGGCACAGTAGGGGGCACAGGTGGTGCATCAGCCAGTCATCTTAGTCAGTCGACCCGTGGCATCTGGGTCTGCCCCGTGACCTCCTGCCCGCGGGCGTTCGAAACTTCACGTGGCCTCAAGGTGCACATGGCCTGGCACAAGCGTCATGGTGACGTCACCGCCACTTAGTGGCGAATGGCGATTGTTGTTGTGTGTCTATGTGTGTGTCTGTGTGTGGGGAGCGCCGTAGTGCAATGGGTAGCGCGCTGCTCCGCGAACTCAGCGACCAGAGTTCCATTCCCGCTCACGGCGCAACACCAGTGACGATTCTCTGAATCGGTCCTGGGCCTCCCCTAAGTCGACTCGGCCTCAAATGAGTACCTGGTGTGATGTATAGACGCCGCCTCTGGGGAGACAAACGGAGCCAGGCGTGTGCCGTTCCGGCCTTCATAGGTGGTCACGAACATCATTTGCCCCAACAGCCGTTAAGGCTATACGGGGGACCTTTGTATATATATTTTTTTTAAAAAGCTTTGCAATGCCTTTCTTATATTATGGTCAAAAAAACAAATCGTGTCGCTTTAAAGCAAAGACGATAAAGATGTCATTAAAACTACTTGCACAGAACAGTTTCTTAAAATTGTGCTCGGTACAATTGAGAAACCAGCGTTTCGGTACTTTGTGCTTGTATATTTTAAAGGGTGGCGCAGTCTCTGAATGTCAACGCATAGCGTGGTGGAAGACTGCCCCCACGTGGCCTTGTCCAGTGAGGTAGCCCAAGGTGCCCCACGCAGCCTTCCAACATTATTACGTTGCTTTGTTTCCCAGGTGACAAAATTTGAAGAGCCAGTCACCCTTGACTTTCTGGATGCCGAACTGGAAAATGATATTAAATTGCTGGTAAGTTTCACTTCCTAGCTTCTGTATATATTAAGAAACGTTTTAAAAATGAAAAGTTAAAACGTAATTTTTTTTTAAACAATTTACAAGTGAACGCTTTTTCACGTGTTTTTCATCGTGTTTCTGGTGTTTTGCTAATTAGATCAGGCAGAGCATGATTGACAAGAAGTCTGGAATGCGCACTTTTGAGATGCTAATCAAATCCTTGGATGAGGTGAGCGGAAATTCACAAATCCCTTTTGCGTTGCAATATTCTCTCCAATGTGCTTTCATGTTGTGCCGTGTGCAGTCTAGCAAAATATGTGACATTTCACTGAATTCTGATAAGAGCTTTTGTCAGAAACTGAAGCTCCCCAGTACTCGGAGAAAAATGTCGGATATCGTGCCATACAATACACTGGAGAGATATACAGCACAACTAAAAAAAACTATATTGTGACATTATTACAACATGTGGCTCAATATTAGAGGTAGAATGATTAACTCTCGTCATTAGACCTCCTTTGCCAGTACCAAAATATAATCATAGGGTTTTTCCCCTTATTATATTTTGGTACTGGCAAAGGAGGTCTAATGATGTAGATGCTAACCCTGAGCCCTCATTACTTTGCTAGTGCATTGTCTTTGAGCTGTACGCCTTTTGGCGTCCTCTGGTCTAGCACCAATTGAGACGAGGCTCAAAAGAAAGCCGTCTCTGGTGTGGACAAATCAGTTTCAAGGACAATGCATATATTATCAGTGTGTTTTTTTTTGCATTTTGACCACAAGTATTGTGGTTAATGCAGACATGATTCATTGTAAAAAGGTTTCAGTTTTGTTGCCAGAAAAAAGGGGGAAAACCCTATTAATATTATTTGATTCACTCTCGGTTATTCAATCTAAGAATCGATTATTTTAATTACACTGTGATGCATGTAGCGCCTCAAGTGGCTGCAGAGGTCACATGCACTCATTGCATACAACAGTAATTATGCAAGTATCATGAACTTTAGAATCAATATGAATTAATTGATGCATCCTTGCAACTGTGCTAAATAATCACCATCTTATGTAACAACAATTACTAACTCTTTCGGTAAAGTCACGTTGAAGGGAAACAATAAAATAATAAAATATATATAAAACAATAAAAATTCTCACGACGTTTCGACCATAACACAAACGGTCGTCATCAGGTGTGTGATGACTACCGTTTATGTTATGGTTTTATATTTATTTTATTATTTTATTGTTTCCCTTCAACGTGACTTTACCGAAAGAGCTAAAAATATGAATTACTGCAGTCACGAAAGCTTTAAATCAAAACAATTACTAGTTTACTTTATAATTTCAAGTCAATATTGAATAAAATGTTAATATATATTTTTTAATCAATTGAACGTAACAAGCGCAATATACCATTTAAGATTTCTAAATGAGTTTAACCACAATACATTTATCTGGAGAAAATATCTCGTCCTGTGTCATGCATGCATTTTAGACAGAGATGTATGTATGTGTAAATTATGGTTGGCTACAATGGGAGATTTCAAATGATGACCGTCTTTATTTTTAAATGTTGACTTCAAAAACCCGCTGCTCTTTGTCACCACAGAGGTACATAGATAAAAGCATGAGAACTTATACTTGGACACCAATGCAGTCGGCTGAATACAGGTAAGTAGCCACTTCAGACCTTTTTTAGATTTCCACATCGTAGCCAAATCATCATTCATTATTAACATCAAATAGCCATTTGAACACTTAAAGCCCGAAAAAGCACTTTGCTGTCCACGGGTCAAGGGCTCAAACCCTGTGTCGCTTTTATGTACAAGTTGTCCTCGTGTCCATGTGCATTGGTTTCGGGGCTAATGCCCTACACTTTTGTCTTGCGGAGCGGACTCATTATAACCCTAAGAGGCCCACATTTCAAGGAATGCAATTGTCGGGGCTTATAGAGGTCTTGAGAGAATGCTGGGACGGAGCATCAGCTCTGTCTCACAAAATGAGCCACCTTGTGCTATCGCCGTGGGAATGGGAAGGAGGACAAGGTTGTCTCTTCCCACAGTCTTTGTCAAACAAATGTAGATTTCAAGGCGCATGCTCGTGACCATCTCTCATGCCCACCCTTCAAATTTCAGACGCCTTACATTTTTTCTGGAGGAAAACCCGACACTTTGTGGTGACAAGCCCTCATTTAGTAAGCTAAAAGTAAAAAAATATATCACAAAACAAATCAATGCTTTTTCCCGGTGTGACATATATCAAAATTAAAGAGCCACTCTCCTAAAGACCGTTCACATCACACGCACACACATGATTAATCCTGATGTACATGCAGGTGATATCCAGCACACACATCAACACAGTGTGGAATATGCCCTCCTGTCTTAGAAAGTGTGGCTACACATTTAAGTACTCGTCTCAAAATGGAGGTGTAATATTGCTTGTCGACACATTAAAGGCTTGAAAAATATCATACCTCAAAATTATGAGCCAACATCATTACAGTATTGTGCAAACTATAAACTGTGTGTGTATATGATTGTTATTTATTGATTTCTTTTTCAGGAGGAAGGCAGGTTCTTTTTTATTAGTCTGACGCCGGTGGCAATTATCAATCTGTTTTTATTGCTTTGTGTTTTAATGCATAACGTGTTTATTATGGTGGTTTACAGCCTCGCTCTGGTCTTGCCATCTTATAGCAACTATTACATCAGGTCATCACTTACCGACCAAATACTACAGGCACAATGTGAGTACATCATCAGCACAAGTGCAAGCTCATGTAATTTTGCAGTGCGTGTGGATAAGGCATAAATATTTTTAATGCAATGACAAAGAGATTCTGTTCAGACGTTGCAGCATAGCCCTAATAGCTTTCTTTTATAATAAGTCCTGGGGTGGAGCCGTCGCACAGTGGTTAATACGGTGCAGTATGAACCCAGAAACCCTAAGCACGATTGCCAACCAAGGCTTACATATCTGAACCAATCTTGTGTTGCCTCCTTCACCTACCCGCGTTGATTAGCGTGGTGAAGTATGGCTAAACAACCAGAGTGGCCGACACGGTGTTGGGAGGCCAGCATCTAGTGGTTAATTGACAGAGGGCTTAAAATATTTCTTATTACTGTATTCCAAAATGTGGAAATACTTTTTTTTCACTTACATTTCATGTTGCGTTAACCCACGTATGCATCTACTTATATGGCATTCTATTGGTTTCATTGTGAGAAGTCTTTTGCATGGCAATGCTGACTGCTCGTGAAAACCACTTGCGTATTTTTTCTTACTTCGAGTAGGAGTGCTGAGCAGTCGCAAAAGCAGCTTTGAATTCCAGTGTTGTATCTCCGCGGTGTTTGTTTTTGCACACCCGGCAAAAAAACTATAGCCAGCTTAAGCCAGACAATATTTTTATTCAATGCGCCTTTTGAATAAAATATTGTTCAAGTCCCCATGATCTCCCACCATCTCTGCTTCTCTCTCTCTCTCTGTCTTTCCCATTTGACGGACTTGCACAGTCAAAAAGGGCACACGCAAGGAGGGCAAGTATTAAACCGCTAGTTGTGTGACCCCTGCCAATCCTTGACTCCTCCCTTCGCTGGACTGATCGTCTGCCTGCATAGTAGTTGACCCTTGCTTCCTTTACTCACTAGCCGTGCTCTTGCCTGTGGCCCTTCCTTTGCTCTAGTTCTAGTGTGACTCGGCAGCGATCCTTGTTTTTAGCTCGACAGCGAGTTTCCTTTCTCACCCCGAGCATCAGGTGGTAAGATCCAGTGAGGGACTGTGGTATTAAACAACCGTACAGAGATAAAACACCCTTTAATTATTGCTCACATCTGTATGCGATGAAGCGGGCCTAATGGAAATACAATTACCCCTTGGGTTTTTTTCGGTAAAGTCACGTGGAAATAATAAAAAATAAAATTATATAATAGCATACGACGTTTCGATTGCAACACAAGCAATCATCATCAGGTACAGAAGAGCTAAATTTAAGAGAGAGAGGAAACACATAACCGCAGATATATATACAGACCCTAAGTAGAGGGAATTAACACATACACCAGGGGATACAGAGAGAGACGGAGGAGCACACTAAATCAAACAGGGTTTAGCAAAATTTGGAAACTATATAAAGCAACACAGACGGTCGGTTAAAACACAATTAACGCATGGTCTCGTTGATTACGCTATTTCAAAGATTGCTAAATTGTAAGTTACGTGTGAAATTTAAGAGAGTGATAGAACACAGACCGCAAAGAGACATATGGGGAGAGAGACACGCACACAGTGAAGAAGTGAAGCAGCATCTCTGTGCCGAAGCCTTAAATAGACAGAAACGGCAGGGCTGGGACTCAGAGACAATGGGGCACAAATTAGCATGAAGAGAGCACATATCAAAGGACGGTGCGTGTAGAGGGCAAGAGTTGTCACACAGGGGCTGCGGAGGAAGTCGCAGCGCACACTCGGAGACACCAAGGCACACACACAGGCAGAGACAACACAGCGATACAAACCCAAGTCAAGACACAAGGCACACACACAGGCAGAGACAACACAGCGATACAAACCCAAGTCAAGACACAAAGGCAGATATACCAGCAGAGACAACACAAAGACACAGACTTCATACCTCCCCGAAGAGGTGGTTCGAACTTGATTAGGTGCTTTCGTGACTGCAGGAATTACTCTTTGTTTTTTTCGGTAAAGTCACGTATAAATAATAAAAAATAAAATTATATAATAGCATACGACGTTTCGATTGCAACACAAGCAATCATCATCAGGTACAGAAGAGCTAAATTTAAGAGAGAGAGGAAACACATAACCGCAGATATATATACAGACCCTAAGTAGAGGGAATTAACACAAAATTACCCATGAGGCTCTGTATTAAGTGTTATGTTTGTGTAGTGGTTATTTATTATTGTAAATCCCCTCCTAGATCGATTGCTGAAACTTTGTTTAAGCATCCACCTTCCCAGCTGTGATTACATACACATATCCCTAAGCAGGTTAGCAAATATGGTAATTAGAATAATTTGGATTCTTACTCATTTCCATGCAGTATGTGCAGGCAAGCATGAACTGTTTAATTGACTTTTGATGCTTTATTGGCTTTGGTTACACTACATGTATGCTCATAATCATCTCTGTTTATTTTTGTTCTGGCTTTATATTTTCAGCAGATATTTCATCACCAGATATTTCATCACGTGTGTTCCTAGCTTTGTTGTTAACGAAATATAAGGTAGTGTCACAAACTCTTCGAAAGTATAATTTGAATAAACATTTTAAGATCATTCTTCCTGGGAAACTATCAACAGAAAATGTGTTTGACCTGCCACACTCATTTTCAAAATGTCTCCTGACTAAACCCCCTTTGTGCCCTGCCCTGTTGTATTTCGTGCCCTGCTGCCTTCCTGCACATTTCATTAATCCCTTGCTCCTCAATCTGTGCTTGCAGATTTAGAGTTCCTCTTGCCGAGCTCCTTCGAGACCATTGGACATGTGTTCATAGCCCCCAGGTAGTTTGCCTCCTACATTGGGTTCTCTTCCATCTGCCTATTCTTGACTTTACCAGAACTTGCAAATCAATTGCAAATCAAAATGGGTAGACGCTTGTGTCTGAAGGAAGAGCACAAATGAGTAAATTCAGCCTGATCTTAGTCATTGTGTCAAGGGAATTGAGATGTGCCATGTACAACCACTGCAACTTTTCTCCCTTCTTTGGAGTATTTGGCTGCTTTAAATTTCGACATGATAAGCCACTTTGTTAAGCTATTATTTGTGGCCAGTTCGCTTATGAAAAGCAGCTATATAGCTCAATGGGCCTTTCCTGGTATGATACAAAAAACATGTTGAAATAGTTTTCTGCATGGCTGTGAAGCTTGAGCCCTTTTATCGTGACCTTTAGCTGTGATTATTTTCTATTTCTCCTGCGTAAATATTTATGCCACTTTTTCCCAGTTTTCGTAGGAAAATAATAACTAAAACCTAACCTGATTCCCTGAGGCATTCTTCATATTCTGTAGCCAATGGTTTCAAATGCTTTGAGGAAATTGTAGGACTGTTTTTTGTGTCAAATATTTATGGTTGTATTTTCAAAGAGTAAACCTTGCAAATCTGAAATATAAAAATGATGGGTATCATTTTGTGTTTGACATTTATAAAGATAAAGGTGTACTTTACAAAACAAGGTGGTGCTTAAATGCACAGCAAAATGGTAAAAACAAAATTGTGTGTACACTTAGCATATTCGAACAATATTTTTGTTACAGTTGCTTTGCAGGTGCAGCTCTGCATGACAGCGATGTGCTTTATTATTTCTGAGAACCTCTTGTAAGATGAAAACAGCGCCTCACTGTGCATAATGTGGACAATCTGAGGCACCTGCATTTGTCACCAAGTTACATTTTATTTTGCCCATGACAAACGGATCGGAGCGTTGGTGTCCACCCCGTAGCAAGCGCTGACTCTATACACCTTTGCTGAAAAAAACAAATACATGTGCCTTTGCCAGACCTCTTGAGGCCAACACAATGAGAGACAGTACATGGCACTCGATAACTATACAGCTGCTCGTTTCACAGTGCGTTCTGTCTCCGCATACAAATATAAAAAAAATATGTAATCGCCTATCAGATTTGCACACCAATATTAACCAGTGGCATTTTTTGAAGCAGGCAAACTCTGGAAAGCCAATTACTAAATGACTAAAAATATACTTTATTTACATGTGGGAGACGCACATCGGAGGTGTGATTAGTGTTTATGTTATTACCCATAATGCTCCTCAACAACGCTAAATGAGTTTATATGCTCATATCACGGTGCTGAATTACCTCTTCGATATAACAAGACAGCCAACGATGTTCCCTCACAGGGCTATACCGTACACACGTGTTTTATCTTGCATTGGTGTATTTTCTATAATTCTAGTTACGTAGCAAAGCAGGCAGAATTTCTCATAGAAAAAAATGTTAACTAATAAAATATATGACACTTCTACCATGGATTATGATATATTTAGGAGTAGCTACCTCATTTAACAAGGGCAATAGAGGTATTCCTCGATTTACGAATGTTTGGTTTACAAAACTGCGCGTTAACGCAATTCACAAATTATGAACACTGTTCGATTAACCACTTGGGAAGCTGCGTCATCCATCTACGACAGTGTCACGGTGTCCCTACAGTAACACCTCCACGTCACCTTTGCAGTTATTCCAACATGCAGATCTTTTGGTGAGTTTCCTGAAAATTTGTATTATTTAAATTTTAAATTGATTATTAACAATAATTTTCATATTTCTGTTATTATTTGTGCATTGTGAAAAGTTACACATGTGTATATGTTTAGGTTAAGAGTACAAGTTTGGAATTACTTTCCGGAACACACCCCTAATTGTTTTTTTTTATAAATGGGAAAACCTATTTGGATTTACGAAATTTCGTTTTACACGTGTGTTTTTTTAAGAACACATCTCTTTCGTAAATCGAGGGATACCTGTATGTAAAATCCTGTACCTGTTTTATTATGGTGAAGAATGTTATGGGTGTAATGATGCAACCGACCACATTCCCTGAATCGTCATCATTCAGAGACGCGATGCTTTGTAGGAATGTGTGCTCTATTTAACATTGTGGTGAATGCAGAATTCTCTCTAGTCGCTGCAAGAATCAAGAAACCACCTTACAATCAACATAAATGAAATAAATAATTACAACTCTTGATTGTTTTTTTATTACACGTGTAAATCGATGCTTAATAAATTATATTCTGCATAAAAAATATGTTTTATGAATTGTTACACCCTTAATTTGCATGGATATTGTCTGTTAAACCGTATCATAGAGAGTACTGCAAAAATCTCAGACCGATGAGTGACAACGCTGAATTCCTGCGGACATTTATTGGCGAGATGGAGAAAAAAACGCCGGATTCGGAGCATTGTGAGTGATTTGCGTAGCTGGGCATCGGTGAGACGGGATGGTCGTGTGTGGAGTGGGAACACGCATATTCACTGCATTAAAAAAAAACAATGGTTTATTTCAGTTTTTTTTAATTGTTACAATAATAACTAATTGGGCTTTGGCCGCATCTATGACACAAAAGGTATGCTTCCTGCTGCAAATATTTTATTAAATGCTATGATTACTTTTTGTGACGCCGTGTGACGAGCGGTGGGGTGAGGGGGGGTTCAAAAATCTCCAAAATCGCGTGACGTCATTTATGGACGGCCCCTAGGTATTGGTGGGCGGTGACGTAGGGGAGCATAAACCAACACGCGAACTCGGGTCACCGCTTGCAGTTGCAGCTTATTGCCGGCCTTCGAACAAAGACGCTAACTGCACCGAGCGCGCTTTCACATCCGCTTCTGCGGCCATTTGGAACGCTCTTTTCGTTGTTAGATAGCCACCGGATCTATATGCACTTTTAAAAATCTAGATTGAAAACCCCATTTCTTTTACAAGTGATTTTTGTGTTTAGTTTGTTGTCCTTCCTCCACACCTCCATTTAGCACGGTTGGCTATGTACGGTGCGAATGAAAGTTCAACATACATGACCACCAACATCTCTCTTAGAGCAGCGATATAACAACAGATGTACAGAGTACAGCGTCACATTTCCAATCGTCGCATTAACACCTTGATCATTTAACTGACTGCCTGTGCGTGGTGCAATTATTTTTATTTTATGTACACGTTCACGAATCCGAGCTTTTCACATACAGCAGTGTATTCTTAATCTCGCAGATAATCGCTAACTTCTAAAGCATAGTCAAATATTGGTGCATGTTTATAGAAATTAATGCTCTGGTTTTGCCCAGTAATCTCTCTGTGCATGATGTAGCCGTCATTTTATATAAATGTTCACAAATCTGACGTTTTCACCAATCCGCCCATGCATTGGTCACTAGAGTTAGATGTGCAAGGTTTTACTGTACAGTATAGGACTTTAACATCTTAAATAGAATGTGTGTATGTATTTATAGTAAAGGTTTTTGGGTTAGATCGCGTTATTAATAACTTTGCCGTTACCCCACGCACAATTCCAGTAGATGAGATCACTGCTGAGGTAGAATCGGTGGTAAGACTCCTTCCACGTAACGAGGCAGAGATGACTAGACACGAGGTTGCCAAAATAATTGAGAATAGCAAAGTACCAAAAGTAAATATTAGCTCTAACAAAGCAAAGCCTTAAGAGGGCTCCGATTAAATCAAGATATTCAAATCCTGGCAGCTGATAAAGGCCGCATTACTGTAGTGGTGTCACGAGGCGATTATAATCAAATTAAAGATTTACTAGAGGAAAGTACAGTACCAACATTCAAATTAAACGAGATACAACTAATACTCTAGAATGTAAGACGACTGCAATCAGTGCAAATTCATTTAATCCCCAAGACTGAGCAATACCAAATTAAGCCAGGGGCCTCAAAACCAAACAACTTTAAGTAACTTTAATCGCTCTGACTGCTACAGGCTTAGTGCGACCTGGAAGCGTATTATTAAATAACCAGGGAATGTCACGAAACAAAAATTGTACACATTCACGCAAGCACCCGATGCTCCGTTTTGAAGTTTTAAAATGAAACATATTTTGAATTTTGATTTAAAGCTTTCGTGACTGCAGTGATTCATATTCTTGGTTCTTTCGGTAAAGTCACGTTGAAGGGAAACAATAAAATAATAAAAAATATATAAAACAATAAAATTATCACGACGTTTCGACTGCAACACAAGCAGTCATCATCAGGTGTGAAAACCAATGGCAAGAACGTGACTTTACCGAAAAAACCAAGAATATATATTTTGAATTATATTGTGTTTTAAATGAGATAATTTTATTTCTTCATTAAAAACTTATATCATTTTACATCTGGAATACTTAATTGAAAACGACAATTCGTGTGAATTTCCTCTCGACGTTGGCCTTGCTGGGGGTTTGGTTCGATGCGGACTTTCACCCGCCCCTCGAAAGCCCCGCCAAAGCGTTGGTTGGCTGCTTGGTCCTGGTCACGTGACGTGCTTCAACCAATCCGTGCAGCGTTAGTCACAGAATGACAGAATCACAAAGCTGGGTGTTTATGTATTAGTATACATATTACAATTCCTTATAAGGGAAACACATACTAATTGACTGATTACTAACGTAGTATATAATTACAATAACCCCCCCCTCCGCCACCTCTGATTTCCGCACCCGATTGGGTATAGTGATTGGGTTCAGTTATTAAATAATACACATTACAACTAATTACTAATCTATAACTGATTACTAATCATAACAATTCACTGATTACCAATCTATTATATTATTACCCCCCCCCTCTCTGCCTCTGATCTCTGCCCCTGATTGGGTTAAATGATCATGACGTCACCCTGCTGCTCGATCTAAGACCGGGAGCAAGTGTGGGGCTTAACTATTCTGGCAAATCACCCGATGATGCTGGATGTAATTACCAGCGAAACGTCGTACTCAAAAATTGTAAATGTTGTGGATTCACTCTTCAACACACCGGTGGGCTAAAGAAGTGAACTATTTGTCTTTTGTCAACGTGACACATTTTTTACTGATTGGCCATGTCGGGTGGTGGAGGGTTGCGACACGTAAATAACGCGATGTAACCCAAAAACCTTTTTATGAATAATATTGGTCGCGAAAGCCTACGTGTGTTTATGTATGTTGAACTTCTTTTGCATCGTACGTAGCCAACTGTTGGTGGTTTAATAATTGCATTTGTGGTTGCTCTTTCACTTTCAGGCAACACGGATATGATATACAACCTCATTCTTGATGCTGGGATCACTGCAAAGTTGGCTCAAACGCATTGGCAAAAACAAAATATAGCAAGGTGAGAAGTGGCCCATCGTTGTTGTTCTTTGGATATCCCAAATATCGCACCTCCTGGCTTTGACATTACGAAATACACAGGTGTAGCCATCAACCGCATCAGAGCCCATCAACACGGCGATCCGCACACCTCCTTCACGAATGAAAAATGCAAGACAAGCCGCAGGCTGTGGAAATACAACCCAAACTATGGGCCAATTAAGAAAGCAGTGTGGTTTGTGCTCCCTGAACGTTGGAGCAACAAACCTACACGAATTCACTCCTGAAGCCCTCTCGTGGCTAGCAGACTTCAACATTGGCATTTAGTTCCTGAACATATTGCCATACACAAGAGTAGAAAATATAATTTGTATGTTCACTTTTTCAACACTTTGATGGGTGTCTCTTTGAGTTGCAAGATGTTTTTTTGCTGTTATGGAATTGTATAACTATTGTAACGTGATTTTATGTATTTATCTGTACAGCATGGGCATTCTAACACTCTTTGTGGCTACGGATGGTGGAATTACAAGGGTATACCCTTACAGGTATCGGGTCAATTTCAATATAAAAATATGAAGTCAGATAAAACACCATTGTATAAAAGCATTATTTAAATTAGGACTTGAAATGTGAGTGAAGGTGTGTAATGCTTGCACAAACACTACACTCTACAATATTAAAGCTTTCAGGGGACACGTGACAAATTGGGTTACTAGTACTGGAAAATGTGTAAAATATAATTATTTTTATAGGTTTTTACATTAAATGAAGGACAATTATCCTCTATTACAGACTTCACAGTTGTGTTTGGAATGTTGTAAATGTTATCATGCGTAATGATAATATTTTAGGCAAATGTTAACGTGTGTTTATTTGGTGTAATCTGTAATTCACAGTAGTGACGATGAATGGGAGGAAAATCCAGAACCGCATGAATCCAGTTATTACAAGAGAAGCTTAGACAACAAGTCATTCATCTACAGGGCCACACATTTCGGAGGTAACTTTCAGCAAGTGCATTATCACGTTTCAATAATGTGCCAGTCACACTTTCAATGCATGAATTACCTAAAGTTTCCATGTGTGTTAGCGTTAAAATTGTATAATGATGCATAATTGTTTCGGACCGCTGGATTAAGATATGGACTGATGCATTTATAGACACTTCACTAAAGTCATAGAGGGATAAATTATGCAGTATAGCAGACTGTATTTTCATTCAAAGGCACTACACGTCTCCCACAAATCTCAATGCATTTATTCAATCTTCAGCGCTCTCCTCCGTGAGACACGGGGCCGTCGCTTTCACATTAGTCAATCACCTGCGGAGATTAAAGTAATGGGGTCATTAGAAATTATTAGGGTATCTTTAAATGCATCATACCTATTAGAGTAACTGGACTGTCTCGTGGTGTGTGTGCTCGAATGCAGCTTGTATTGAATAAAGGCTTGTTATATACTTTGTAGCCAGCAGGGGGCAGTCTAACCACAGGATAACAAACAGTTACTGGTACCATTGCCAGTCGGTCCATCCCAAAGTTAACCTCTGCTGTCATTCAATAGATTGTCACCTTTGTTGCGGGTCACAATTCAATTAAAGAATCAGTTATGTATTATAATTCTATTTCTGACACACCTCTCAATTCCTACGTCAGCTACACTATCTGCAGTGGCCATGTGAAATAAAGTACATCTAATGAATGCGTATGAAAAAATGTGTGCTATTGTCCAACGGATGTATCGTGAGTGTGTGAATCAAAATGTAATCGATGCGTCGTTACATCCCCCTAATTACAAGCACTGATACATCCGTGTTCAAGACGAATCAGTTCACTTTAAGTTGCTTATTGAATCAGAAGTATACCAGTTCCTTTAGTCATTTGTATAACCATTTGGCTGGAATGTCAGTGTACATTTTATCCCTAATTATGAAACATACACATTGTATTGTGTACACATCACATGTATTTAAAAAAAATTACACAGTTTTAACAAGTTTCATTTCATAATAAAGGTTTTTGGGTTAGATCGCGTTTATTTATAAATGTGTCGTAACCCTCCACCACCCGACACGGCCAATCAGCAAAAAAAGTGTCACGTTGACAAAAGACAAATAATTCACTACTTCAGCCCACCGGTGTGTTGAAGAGTTAATCCACATTTACAGTTTGAGTACGACGTTTCGCTGGTAAATACTTCCAGCATCATCGGGCAATTCGCCAGAATGGTAAAGCCCTCGCTTGCTCCCGGTTTTATATAGAGCAGCAGGGTGACGTCATCACTTAACTCATCAGGTGCAGTGATTAGAGGCGGAGGGGGGGGGGGGGGTAATGTAATTATATAATCGATTAGTAATCAGTCATTGGTTATGATTAGTAATGAGTTGTAGATTAGTAATTCTTTAAATCAAAATGTAATGTGTATTATTTAATAATACGCTTCCAGGCCGCACTAAGCCGGTAGCTGTCAGAGCGATTAAAGTTATTCTTGTTCCTCTCAATTTCAATGGATTCTCTAATTAGTCTTTGCCAGTAATAATTCGTTTTACACACCACTGCAACATTGTCAAAATCAATTGAGTGTCCTTGTTGACAAGCATGTTCTGCCACTGCCGACAGTTGTGTTTGAGATAATTTAATATTTCTCTGATGTTCTTTTAGTCTTACGCTGATGTTACGTCCCGTCTGCCCAATGTAGCAGCTGCCACATGAACAATTAATCCGATATACACCTTCTGTTGATAGTTTAGGTAATGCGTCTTTAGTGCAAGATACTAGTTTTTGAATTTTGTGTACTGTACCAAATCTTACTGTAATGTTTTGCTTTTGCAAAACGCGGGCTAATTTGTCAGTTACTCCTGAGATATATGGAATTTTTATTGTTTTAACAATCTGGTCGCTTTCAGTAGTATTGCTTTGCGATCGTGATTTGGCATTCAGTGCTCTGTTAATTTGAGCATTATTGTAGCCATTCTGTCGTAGTGCGTCTTTAACGTGTTTAATCTCTCTCACTAGACTCTCACCATCTGACACCGTTTTCGCCCGATGTACGAGCGTCTTGATAAGAGAGGATTTTTGAGCTGGATGATGATGTGATTCTGCATTCAGATAGGCATCAGTGTGCGTTTGCTTTCTGTAAACGCTGTGTGTTATTTTACCGTTTAGGCCATGTCCAAGCAAAATATCTAGGAATGGGAGTGTGTTATTCACCTCCATTACCATGGTGAACTGGATGGCCGGGTTTTGTGCATTGAGATGATTTAGAAATTCATTAAGTGTATCTTTACCATGTGGCCAGACAACCAAAGTGTCATCCACATACCTAAACCAAAAGGATGGTTTTAATGTGCTCGAGGCAAGTGCTCTTATTTCAAAGTTTTCCATGTACAAATTTGCTATAGCAGGGGATAAAGGAGAACCCATTGCTGCTCCTTCCTTTTGTTTAAAGAAATCCCCTCTCCATAAGAAGTAAGTGTTATTTAAACAATGGCCAGCAAGTTTCGGAATATCTTTTTGTAAACCGGTATTCTTTACTAGTGTATCAAGTAATTTAAGCGATTCGTCCACTGGAACCTTAGTGAATAGAGAAATAACGTCAAAACTTACCAGAATATCATCAGGAGTAAGTTTAATATCTTTAATCACATTCACAAGATGTTCTGAATTTTTTATGAATGAAGATGTCTTACCGATGTAGGGCTGTATTTGTTTGGTTATATATTTTGCTAATTGATATGTGGCAGAGCCAATTGTACTGACTATGGGTCGTAATGGGATGCCGATTTTATTAATCTTTGGTAGCCCATAGAGTCTAGGTGGTTTTGAGGCCCTTGGCTTAATTAGGTATTGCTCATTTTTAGGGATTAATGAATTTGCAATTATTGCAGTGGTCTTACGTTCTAAAGTATTAGTTGGATCTCGTTTCATTTTAATGTAGGTACTTTCCTCTAGTAAATTTCTAATTTTATTATCATAATCGGCTCGTGACATCACTACAGTAGTGCGGCCTTTATCAGCTGCTAGGATTTGGATATCCTTATTTACACGCAGCTCTCTTAAGGCTTTTGCCTCGTTAGAGCTAATATTTACTTTTGGAACTTTGCTATTCTCAATTATTTTAGCAACCTCATGTCTAGTCATCTCTGCCTCATTATGTGGAAGGAGTCTAACTGCTGATTCTACCTCAGCAATTATCTCATCCACTGGAATTGTGCTTGGGGTAACGGCAAAGTTAAGGCCTTTAGAAAGGATAGAGACCATGTCACCGGTTAATACAGTGTTGGTCAAGTTCAGTACAGTTTTGTTTTTACATTTTTGGTTTTCAGTAGGGATTTGTTTATTTTGTAGTCTAGAAAATTTATTAATTTGGTTAGTTTTTGTTAGTTTAAACACATTATCAGCCGATTGTTGTGTTATGTTATCGATTATATTCCAATAATGCATAGATACACTATTGCTTATATCTAAGTGTAACTGCTTTAGCGATTCCGAAATGTAAGATAATTCACTCCGCCTCTAATCACTGCACCTGATGAGTTAAGTGATGACGTCACCCTGCTGCTCTATATAAAACCGGGAGCAAGCGAGGGCTTTACCATTCTGGCGAATTGCCCGATGATGCTGGAAGTATTTACCAGCGAAACGTCGTACTCAAACTGTAAATGTGGATTAACTCTTCAACACACCGGTGGGCTGAAGTAGTGAATTATTTGTCTTTTGTCAACGTGACACTTTTTTTGCTGATTGGCCGTGTCGGGTGGTGGAGGGTTACGACACATTTATAAATAAACGCGATCTAACCCAAAAACCTTTATTATGAATAATATTGGTCGCGAAAGCCTACGTGTTAAACTGAAGTTTCATTTCATAGAGTTGTTTATCGTCTTATTAAAGTAATGTCAAGCTATATTTTATAACATTATATTTTTTTCAGCGTGTAGACTACGTGTCTACATTATTTGCTGTTATTTGGATTTTGCTTCCGACAACTATGGATGGAGCTGCCACTCTAGTTCTCGCAGTGCAGTATGAATCGGTGAACCTGCTTTTGATTCCTGACCATGGCTGTCTGAACCAGTCTTGAGCCCCCACCTGCCCCCACCCAACCTCCCCCCCACCCTCCCACCTACTAGCATATTCAGCTGCTCAGAGTAGACTCACCACAGTGGTTGTGATGTCCATCCACAGGTTGTACGAGCCAATCAGACACCACGAGAAAATAATTATCGAGGAGTCTGAAGACTCATTGCCTGGAGGGTCCTGGATTGGGATGTTTGGCCAGTTCCATTATTGCGTGTTTTGTATCTGGGAAGAAAAATAAATAAAACTCGCACATATGTGTGGGTAGTACAAAAACGCCCACACAGATGGATTCAGTAATCCATTGGCTATATTTTCCATCTCCTTCTATCTCACAGCCCAGCCTGTTTTTGGGATTCCAATGGCATCTTTACTAGAATAATGCAATATGACGCAGTGCCGTCAATTGTTAATCAAAAGTTGTTTCACACTTTGTAATCCAATACAACCTTGCCTATATAACTGAAAGCTACAAAGGTTTGAGGCTATAGGTCACATGCATACCTTTCGAGGTTTTTTTTTTCAACAAAGAGAAAGAGGAACAGGTGAATACGAGCCACAGTTTGTTAAGATTGGAGCCAAGCAGAGATGTATTGATTTATGGGACCAAGGAGGTAGCCACAGTTCACCATGTCAGTTTATGATATAGAATCAATATTGTGTCAAGGAGAGCATTGCTATAATGATATAATAATCTTTAGTTTTATATAGCATTGTTTGTGAAAATTGCATCTCTCAATCGCTGAGGAATCACAGACAAGCTGGAAGGCAGACAGGCGGTGAGATGTATCCAACAATCTCCCAAGCTCTGCAGTCCTCTATGCATTAAGATGTTTTCAGCCAATTAATGATCATATGTACATATGAGAGGAAACCAGAGCACCCAGAGAATGGACAGATTATATTAGTCCACACTTTGCTGTACTGCCTTCGCCTGACAAACCAGGGTATGGCACCTCGGCACCTACAGGGAGGGATTTGTGCAGCAATTTTGTGATCCGCCAATATATGCCTTCACAGTGGTACATTGCAGGCACGCGCCACATCCGCCTAGCCATAGCTGTTGTCACTACCCCACTAATTTCCCCAATATTTGCCCAACCTTCTGCTTTCATCCCATAAGTTTATCTGCGACCTTTCGTCTTTTAGAAAATAATTTAGCGTTCACCAGAGCGGAAAACTCTTAACAACATGTATCCAAGATACTATGATTTATGGGTTTTTTTGTTTTTCAGCCGCAAGGCAAGCATATGGTGCCAACGTGTCCATGGGAATCCTGGCTTCACGCGTTGTCGACGTCAACATCGATGGCAAGAGCCTGCGACCTGCAGGTGAAGCGCTCGGCAGGGCCGGAGTCTCTGCAGTTAGAACAACAACAACAAAAATTACGCGAACTTTTTTTGGAGTTAATAGATTTTTTTTTGCAATATTGCAATTGGGCTGGGAGTGTTGATTGCAATGGATAGAGCACTGCGCTGAACTCCAGTGGCTTAGGTTAAATTCCCACAGTGGCGAGATGTTAACTACCTCGCCTGGTATACAGGAGATCGTGGGTTCAATTCAGACCTTGACGCCCGCTGTATATTTGGAGTTTGCGTGTCCTCCTCGTGATGGCGTGGATTTTTCTCCGGGTCCTCCGATTTTTCCCATCCACATTTATAAACATATGTTGAGAGTATTTGGTCGCTATAAATTTCCACATGATAGGCCACTTTATTGAGAATATCAATTGTGGCCAGGTCACTTCTGAAAAGAGCTATATAGCTTTGTGTGCCTTACCTGGTCAAATAAAACTAATTTTAATAGTTGTTTATGTGAACCAGTCCTGGGTTGCCTGTTTCTTTCACCAACCCTCACTCACCAGCTCGGTGAAGTACAGTCAAACCACCACCTTCACTTGTATGTGGTTTGGGAGGCCTTCATCCAGCAGTGGATTAAAAACTGTAATTGATGTTGTTATATCACTTAAACGATCCGATTACACATTACATTTCATTTTACTAATCTATATATGCGGAGACTGCAATGTTTGTAAATATTGTCAATGAACGTCATATTTCCCCCCCGATTCAAGGTGATACTTTTAGGTTTTGCATGGACTTTTTTCCTCGTGATTTGTGTTTAGTGGTCGGAGTGAAGCTGAATCCCGAATTCTGGGTGCCCAGATTCCGACTCCTCACCAATAATCAGACAGACAGAGGCAAGAATCCAAAAAAGGTCGTACATTTATTTCGGCAGTATTTGCATTCGACAGCAGTTTTTTTTTTGCGTGGTGTTGCGTTGCTATTTATACGTGCCATGCTTGTCTAATCGTGTGACATTTTTAGATTTTGCAGTGTATGGACAACTCTTGCGAAATGGACTGCGACTCCAAAAGTAATGTAAGTTAATAGCGTGTCAGAAGACATACACTTTGCCCTTTTTCCTTATGCAAGCAAATAAAAAGCGCACAAGTCACTTGTGATAAGTAGAGGCAAATATGCGTTTCTGTTGTTGCCCTGGAGACCGGGAGATCGTTGATCGATGTTCCCTTCACCGGTTGACGGCACTAATCGTTATGTATCACTTAACAGAGTGGGCCACGTGAAAGCTGCCACCTTCCACTCTTGCATTTCTTTGACAACTGTTAATTGGAAGGGTGCTGTTAAGTACCCAACCTCATGCCATTTCCTAGCCTCTGTTGTCAAATATCCCTTGCGTTAATGCATTGGTTGCAGTACGTATTTGGTTGCTGAAATAGCTGGTTGATCGTGAAGTGCCTCCCCCTGGTTATTAAAAGGTGCACAATATTCGTAAGATCTCTTAAGTGGGGTTTTCTAGCCGCAAATTTGTGTCATCCCTTTGAGTACTTCCACGTTAGTTTTGTATGATAATTCCTTTGACAAAACCCCTACAGGGGAAAAAATGTTCGTGTCATTTTGTAACCTTGGAAGCTGACCATGTCCCGCACCTCCACATTAGTACGGTTGGCTACGTACGGTGCAAAAGAAGTTCAACATACATACTGTACATGCATGGCCACGGTGTTTTCTCAGAGGATGCCTCTCCTCCAGAAACCCTCGCTAACTGTCTTCAAACACTGCTTTAGCTGAGCTAAACCACAACTAAGGGTTGCCACCTATATTGGTGTTCCAGTGAGTTATCTTTTGTTGAGGTTTGCTGTTCTGGGAAATCTCTTTTAAGTCTTCCCGGGAACATTGAACGTCTCGGTTTCTGCCAGCTGCGTTAACAATGCACCACTCAAGACACAGAGCATTTACATACAATTATGCTCTCTTGCGCTATTGTGAGGAGACATGCTCCTTCCCATAACAAGACGGGTTGTCACAGGGTGTTTTTTTTTAAGGCAACAAGCCTGACCACGTGACACACTCAGCTGCCTGTTGCACTGTCATTATCTTGGAGTTTACCGGGCCCAGTGCTGCTTCCTCATAAAGCAAGCAAACGAATCCCATTGAAACACATACACACACATTTTATAATGCCATTGAACGTGGGTAGTGCTCTACCATACAGCTATACTCATTTGTTTCCAATATATAGGATAAACAAAAATAATGGAGTGGAATTACAATCACCCAGTACAGTGCTGGTTGCATTGGCATAGCAACTGGTGGCAGAGTACTATCGATACAGCCTTGGAGAGCTGAGAATATGCCCCAAGTCCCGATAATAAATACAAGATGCAAAGCATCCTGTTAATTTTCCATGTGGCATGGCTCACTACGCATCAAAAATGCGGTGTTTTGGCTGTCCATCGAACAAAGACGGTCACTGCATTGCACGCCTTTAGATGCGTTTCTGCGGCCGTTTGCAACACTGTTCCGATATTAGGAAGCCACTTGGCCTATGCACTTTTAAATCTAGATTGAAAACTCATTTCTTTAGAACTGCTTTTTGTGTTTAGTTTGTTATCCTTCCTCCGCGCCTTAGATTAGCATAGTTTCCTACGTACGCTGCGAAATAATTTCAACATACATACATACATATTATGGCTTTGAGTATACTGTTTTATGATGATGATGATGTGGTCTTGAGTTGATGTGTGTACATTTTCTCAGATCTTGGAATGTGTGGTGTTGGATGATGGAGGTTTCCTCGTATTTTCAAACCAAGAATCTCACCAAGAAAAGGTAATAGTGGTGCACTGACAAATGACTCTAGTGCAACACAGTCATGTTCTCAGTTTAATAAGTAATTGTCCTTTGGAAATTCACATGTGCAAACCAATACAACGCTCGTAGTGTGTCCTGTCAAGGCAGCTGAATATGGTAAACATTCTTCATGTGCATTCTAATTGCAAAAGACACGTTGCTCATGCATTCAGATCACGTAGAGAAACTGTGTAATCAAATAATTGTCGTAAAACACACACAGCTCAGGCATAAATAAAAAGTTCATAAATCAATTTAAAAGTATACAATTTACAACAAAAGTTCCAATATGGATTAGTTTTATAGATTGCATCACTTTCCAATGGGAGGTCTGAATGGAAGATAGTAAGAAAAAATAAGTGAGTCTCTCTGTTGACGGTGGTGCACGTATGTATGTTGAACTTCTTTTGTGCCGTACGTAGCCAACCGTGCTAATCGTAGGTGCGGGGGATGAACAATAAACTAAACACAAAAAGCAATTCGAAAGAGATGAGTTTTCAATCGCGAGCACAAATGAACACAGAGGAGAAAGATCATGTGTACATATACAGGAATTCTGTACCAGCGCTTGCATTAGTCCTTCGGAAGTATTTCATTAGCGATGTATAACGTCGCCTGCTGAGCCACAGAACAAGACGACATAGCACGTGATGATGCAAATGCCTTTGTCACAAACATTTTTTCTTTAAGCGATGGTTAAAATCGCCCAAGTTTTGGACAACCCTTTCATACATTTCACCAGATTTCTACAGGGTATGTTGGATCATCTTTGTGAAAGTTATCGTGACCCCCCCAGCTCTACAGACAAGACAGATGGGCAGACAGCTCATAAGTACTCATCGTTAGCACTGGCTTACAGCAGATAAGTGTGTAACATGCTGATGTGTATGGTATCGGCCATTCTTCAGAGCAGAGATAGACGGGGTCAGAGGGATTGTGCTTAACGCTCTGGTGGATTGTGACAGTTGAGACATTTGAACAAGGTTGTCAAATAATTATTTTATTGACTTATAATGAGTTTGTCATTGGTTGGCATTTACGTATCAAACTTTTTTTAAGTTTGAAAACATTTAACTGGTTTAACTAAAAAAAATGTCAATTTCACTTTTAATTTTCACAGTACACCATAGTGCAAAGTGCAGCCTCTGGCTTTCAGTCAGCTAAACTTCTCCACCCTCTCTCTGTACCACAGCAAGGGCCGTTGCCCACAATGTCAGCCTACCATATATACGTAACTCTGTTATATACGGCTCTTTTGTCCATCCATTGCTGGGTGAGTGTTGGGGAAGGTCATGTGGGTTATTTCGTGAAACGTCATCACGCTGTTTCTCAGTGCCGGCTGGTGAAGGCACAGAGCAAATACGCGAGAGCAGCAAAGGATCTTGCTGCACTGCCCTCTGCTGCCCACTACGAATGCCCGCAGCTCTGTGACAATCCTGGAACCTTATTGTTTGGCAGTATCAAAGTATGAAAAATAAGAATAGTTTTACCCTCTCTGGCAATGAAACAGAAGGTGTTAAGATGTTCAAACACCACATAGATACATTTTGCAAGGAATCAAGTCTGTACTCTTTGTGTTTTTTTTTTTTTCGGTAAAGTCACGTAGGTAAAATAAAATAAAAGAGGACAATTAAATCACGACGTTTCGGAGGCAACACAAGCTTCCGTCTTCAGGTGGAACAGTCCCAGCAAAATAGCTGTATCAAGTGAAGAGCTCTGAGACACCCGAGATTATATACAGGTTAAGGGGGGGGGGGGCAGGAAGGGACGTGGGTGGGGAGGGGAGGGCTAAGTTAAGCCGCCTTTTGTTATGCTGCAGGGGGTTCGGGGGAAGCGGTGGTGCACTGCACGAGAGCGAGTACAACCACTGGCAGAAATGGCAATGGCCGTACAATTATAAGGCAGCTAAAGTTTGACTTGGTTGATGACATATTTCCAATGGTTGCTCAATTTAAAACCATCCTCTCGGTTGAAGTTGTGTCTATGTTTGTATATCAAGTCTGCATTAACCACAGGCATTTGTGGTGAACATACATACATACAAACGACCGTGCTCTGATAATTATATATGCATTGTCTTTGAAACTGATTGGCCTACACCAGAGACAGCCTTCTTTATGGCCTAATCTTACCAGTGTCAGACCAGAGAACGCCACAATACGAACAGTACAAAGACAATGCATAGGGTAAAACCTATTTTTATTTTTCATACTTGACAATCTGTGGATGGCGATTGCCCATCCAAGCACTACCCAGGGTCAACATTGCTTAGCCTCCGAGATCTGACAAGATCAGATGCATTCTGGGTGATTTGATCGTCGGTATATTTCTGTTATCGTAATCATCAGGCATGGTCAATATATTTCTGACTTAAGGCCTCAACAAGCCACCACCACTTCTCATGATCCTAATATGCAACGATCCACCTTAGCACCTCCTGCACACGAACTGATTTCATCGCTTCCCATCTCCTCGATGGGCCTACTCCCCTTGATTGCCACTCCAGAGTCAATGGTCGACTGAAGGTGATTGTTGTTGTTGTTGTTCGTGCAAGACACCAAATCCGCACGTCTGTTCCCACGCCGAATGTCGTTCACCGCGCAGCTGGGCGAGTTCTTCGGGGAGGTGGACCCCCACCTGTTCCACGAGATGCACAGACTGGCGGTGTACTCACGCGTCGAGTCCTACGACTATCAGTCGGTGTGCGACCCTCCGCCTGAGTCGCACGCGGGCGCCGCGCACAGATCCATCCGCATCGTAAGTGGTCCCCGGCACCGCACACCCTCTTCGGGGGGAGGACGGCGGGGCTCTCTCGCTCGCTGCTCGGGGCATATACATATTGCTTGGAGTGCAATGTCGGCTCACAACGGTCTCCAGGTACAACATCATGGCTAGTCGAGCGATATCGGGTTTGCTGCTTGCCGCAGAGGTTTGTGGTTCCAGCTCTGTGATCGCCCTGGTTAATGCTGCGGATGTATTAACCAAATATACACGCTGTCTGCTTCACAGTGGCTATTTAAAGATCCCATATACGTTATTTAAAAACGAGAAAAGCCGTGTGTGCTTGCGTCGCAGTCCAATGTTGCAATGATCGGAAATAACTTAATTGCGGAAAACTGCATGGCATATTGCCGCCCACTGCTAAACGCTACCCATCTCTGGAACATAGACAGAGCAACTTCATGATAACCTGTGCGCTCTAAGAAAGGGGCACATGCCAAATATACAAACAGATGAGCTGTATTCCATTTTGCAGCCATAGTTCATGATATAACAGCATCACATAGCTCTGCAAACTGTCTAAGTTCAGCGCATAGCCATAGCTCACCATTGCGGCTCTGAGAGATGCCTTGTATCAGTTCAGAACAGGATGAGCATAGTCATGCTGGGAAAATCACGGGAGAATAGTCACTGAGTCGGGGAGCAATCCATTGAGGGCTCCAATAGCTCTCTGAAGTGTTTTCAGGTTCTACCACGTGATGTTCAGCATGACGAAGCTCCCGTACACGTCAGACGTCACACCGAACAAAATGCGGTACAACCCGAAAACAAATGAAGAGCGCTATACAGCACAAGCGTAAAAATCACACACTGACATTCCACTCTGGGAAACACAAATGCATGTATCTACACGACGAAAACATGTATAAAAGTCATTAAAACAATACTATTACTACTAAACGGAATTAATTTGCATCAGACGCACAGTTGTAATTGGGTAATAGTGTGTCATACGAATATGACAGTAAATATTCATCGCTCAGTTTGATATCATTGTTTTATGCTGAAATTGGATTATAATTATACTGCAATGCCCTTTATCCAGCATCGGTGGGAGAAAATGCAGAAACGCAACCAATACGGAGCGATGATCTGCTCTACCCTTTGGTGAAAGTTGAAAGGAGAGGCTGCACCATGTTACGTAAAGGCCCGCGACCTGCTCATTTGTTGTGATAGTGGAAGAAGCAATGTCGGTTTTTTTTTCTTCAAATTTTACTTTGCTGTGAAGGCGAGGGCTCTCGAGCAGTTGCAATTCTGTGCCGAGGATCAAGGCTGTGTGCAGTTGAGTCATCAAAGTAACGGACATAAATAACATACGTGTGTCTGTGTACTTGAGCTGAAATAATTTTTTGCTCAAATGTGTTGCTCTGTTTGCTTGATTATTTACGTCAAATAAATTTTGGGGTTTCATAATAAAGGTTTTTGGGTTAGATCGCGTTATTTATAAATGTGTCGTAACCCTCCACCACCCGACACGGCCAATCAGCAAAAAAGTGTCACGTTGACAAAAGACAATTCACTACTTTAGCCCACCGGTGTGTTGATTGCCTTTTGTCAACGTGACACTTTTTTGCTGATTGGCCGTGTCGGGTGGTGGAGGGTTACGACACATTTATAAATAGCGCGATCTAACCCAAAAACCTTTATTATGAATGATATTGGTCGCGAAAGCCTACGTGTTAAATTTTGGGGTTTGTTTGTTTTTTTTCCAGCCAAAAATATATGACATCCTAAACCTTGCCTGGTGGTTCTCTGCAGCGGCATGGTGAGTAAAAACCGGGACACAATCTTCATGCTGAATAAATTGCAAACCATGAGAGTTCACGCATCTTATTTCGTAATGCAAGGTTATTTTTCAACATTGAGAACTCATTTAATGGTTATGAAGAAAGATTTCTTTGTCGCACATTTCACACCAAACATAAACGCTCAACGCCTGGAAAATCTTTGCACGTACTCAAAGAATTGCATTTGCTTCTTTTTAATCGGAAAATTTATGCAATATGCTTTTTAATTACTCGACAAGTTTTTTAAAAGTCACGTAGAAGGGAAACAATAAAATAATAAAAATATATAACACTAAAATTCTCACGACGTTTCGACTGCAACACAAGCAATCATCATCAGGTGTGAAACCCACAGCAAGAAAAAAATCACAGCAAGAAAAAAAATGTTCTTGCTGTGGTTTTCATACCTGATGATGATTGCTTGTGTTGCAGTCAAAACGTCGTGATAATTTTATTGTTTTATATTTTTATTATTTTATTGTTTCCCTTCTACGTGACTTTACCGAAAGAACCAAGAATATGAATCACTGCAGTCACGAAAGCTTTACATCAAAAGTTTTTAAAAGTGAGGAAAATAATAACAGTTTATGTATGCTAGTAAATAAATAAAGATGCCTAGTATTGGACGTGATTTTTTTTTATTACTTTAGACGTTACCGTTGCATGACTCCAATAAGCCAGAAACGCATTTATCAGACTTTGGGTCATGACCCCCCCCTAGGAAGGTTTCATTGTCATTAGAAGGGGCCTCGACTTGAGTCAGTCATAAAAAAACTGATGGAGGGCATCTGTTTAATCACCAGAATAACATAACAATTAAGTAAATCGATTGACATAATCACTCATGCTCAGAGCTCTCAGGTCTAATATCCCTCCACTCCCCCCTCCATGACATTTCACATACATGAAATTGAGATTAAGGTTTACAACATATGGGACCCCATACGCTACAATTATTTGTAATTACTGTTACTGATACAGCACACATTTTGCAGATTGTGCTTTGAAGCGTGTATTTTTGTCACCATCGTTTCTAACATTCTAATTTTTTTTGTTGAGTATTAATGTGATGACGCTTTGAGTGGAAGATTTGTTCCAGAAAGGTGCCACTGTCAACAAAAATTAAATGTACGTGACTGTAAATGTTGTGAATTCAATCTTCAACACACCGGTGGGCTAAAGTAGTGAACTAATTGTCTTTTGTCAACGTGACACTTTTTTTGCTGATTGGCCGTGTCAGGTGGTGGAGGGTTACGATACATTTATAAATAACCCAAAAGCCTTTATTATTAATGACTTTATTATTACTTGCATTCTAAGTGAGTACCAGTGAAACCTATAGACGGGGTGATCCTTCTCTGTTCATTACAGCCCCAACTGAAACTACTTATTACGAATGACTAGAATCCTAATGTTAGTCACATGACAAACATTTTAATCATGAAGAGTTGTAATTTCACCAAATTTAATGCACAACCAATGTGTTATTTGATGTGTATTTGTGCAGTCATCGGTGAGTTGGCCTGAGACCATCACAGGCAGCTTACCTGGATCAAACCCAGGTTCTCAGCAGTACCAGCTCAGCGCTCTGACCTCCTAGCCACCCAGCCACCCTCAGGATAAAATGTTTTCTTTGGAAAATATTTTACTCCATCCACAGGATACGCTGATACTGAACCTATGCCGCCCTCTAGTGGTTGTATTATCTTCTTGCGAATGGCCATATGTTTTGGGAAGCGAAATGCCAAAATCGAGCAAGGTCTTCTCACCACGAGAGGGCTTCAGGAGAGAGTGGTGATATAATAAAATACTAGTATTTTGGTCACGATTTTTTTTCATCTCGGTTAAAGATAAATGGTCACACATAGGGTCATCATCATTACCGTATATCCTGGGTGCCTTCTCGTTCGAATGAACCTTCTTTGTTTGCTCCGTATGATAACTTTGCTCGACTGGTTGCAGACAGACCGACACACACGGAGGAGAATTAAACATGAGGATGGTCTCTGTGTGTTCCCTGACAGGTCGCTGCTCCAGCAGCTGCTGTGTGGAATTACGGTACCAAACTTGTTCAGTCCGTGTAAGTGCCCCGATCACTCGGCAAAGCCTTTGTGCAGCCCTGCAATTGCAATTGCGTGCCTCACATACTCATGGTGTCGTGTTGTCGGTTCACATTCTGTTTGATTCGGACCAAAGCGCGAGGTTAATTTACAGAGTGGATCACAGCAAATTAATAAATTACATTACCGATGGGCGTACAAGGGGATGTTCGTGCCACTGCTTGCAGAAGGGGTCCCCACTAGAGGGCAACTCTAGAGGGTACCTCGCCTACTCTACCCGGCAGGTCTTGGATGGGGGTATGCGGTACCCACGCTTTACCCCACCACAAGTGACCTTCCAGGATGGACTAACTGTGGTGTACGTATGCACGTACATTGAACATTTCTTCGCACCGTATATAGCCAACCGTGCAAACCAGAGGTGTGCCCATTCATACTGCTGGCTGGATAATCCGAACGTTGATTTGGCCCCAAATTAAATTTGCAAAAAAATATCATCGCGAAGGAGTATGTGGCAATGGCATATCCTATGATGCGTGTACAGGAACATCCTCATAGAATGAATTCATGGCGGGGGCATACACCGAATTATATGTTTATATGTTCTACAGAATATGGATTTGTTATCATTCACGTTTTGTGGAGTGCACAAGCGATGGCCTTGTTTAATCGTGTGATCGATGCTTTCGCCGCCGCTTTGTATCCCCAGCCGTGGACGCGAGGGACCCCCTGGACCTGAAGGGCAAGGTCAGCTGTGTGATGCTGCAGACGCAGTACTACTTCCCAAACAACAACAAGTCCTTCCATAAACTCATCGACTGTGGCAATTGCACCAGGTGGGGTCGTTGCTCACGAATACAAACGGCACTCCTCCTTCGCACGACACAACACACACGCAGGCGCTCCGTAGCTTGTCGGCCGGGCAAGCCTCGTTCATTGGCCTCTTTAGCGTTGGGGGGGGGGGGGGCATTTGGGAGGGCACCGAGAAAGGACTGAAACTGCCCTCCCCTGCTGAAGACTCAGCCACCCCCACCGCCTGCCCCTCCTCCCCCCCCCCCCCACCCCATATAGTCTTATAATCAAATAAATGTTATTGCAAATATGTTTTACAATGAAGTTATGGGCATTGCAGCCTTTCTTCATACACACGGGGGGGGTGAAATCTAGAGCAGGATGCATGATGGACAAAAGCAGAGCATATCTTAATGCTTTCTGTTTGTCGTTGAATATTTGTTTAGCTTAGCATTGACTGTGTCGTGCATTCTTCCCCTTCTCCGTTAATTATGGTCATGCTATAGGGTTGGGTGGCTACGTTGTCTTTGATTCGACGGTGAGCTCGTGTATTTGTGCAACATTGGAACAGGTACTTCCATGCGGAGAAGCTGGGCACCAGTAACCTGGTGCTGGTCGTGGCAGAGCTGTTCTCAAAAGAATGTACAGTGTGCGAAGTTCGGAAAATCAAGCAGGCCAAGCAAAAGTGTATCCTTTTGCATGACCATATCACTCTTGGTGAAGCCCAATATCTTGAGATCTCGAGAGAGGAACGGGGTTTGAACTCGGTTGTTTCCTGGAAGGTTGACCTCCGAGCATTGGTAGAGGGAATTTAATTATATACTCATGATATGCTGTACAAACAGGTTTGAAATTAAGAATCGATTCTTTGATAAAACAAATCTAATGTAACCACACAAGACGTACAATAATGAATTTGTATGGTCGCCAGTTTGCATATCTATTCAATAATATGCTCATGTTACACGCAGGCTAATCGAGTGAACAAATCCATACAAATGAGATATAATTAAGAGAAGCAATACAAATTAGATTGTGAAAACAATGCAAAGAATCAATTCTTGAATCTATTCCCGCATTACGACAATTCATTGAAGCACTGCAAGGAATGAATCGCTGGGATGACCGCTTGCAAGCATGCACTGTCTATATATGAATCCTTGTCAACAGGGTGTGAACGTGGGGAGAATGGACAGTGGAGCATAGAAAGTAAGTACAGTACAACGGTGGATATTGCTGCAGCCCTCACTGATGATCATGGCAAAATAACGGTCACATGTCCCCTGCGGTAACCACAGCGTGGGGAAGCCCTCATCCAGCAGCGGATCGACAACTGGGCTTGCACAACTGCAGCAGAACCTGCAATGTGATGTCTGCTCCGTGCACCTTGTTACGGACTGTAATGTGCGAATGTGCAGAGCGCTTGAGCGAGTGTCAGAGGGCACGCTGGGTTTGCGTGTGGTAAGGCGCTGCGATCGTGAACGACGACAACAACGAGAACTGCAAAACGCAATTCCGCCGGTGTTGGCGAGCGCGGCTCCCTGTGTTGACGTCGTCCTTGACTTTGCTATCCGCTCAGCGCAAGGACCCGACCCCTGTCTGCTGGCAGAAACGCCACGGTATAGGAAAGGACCCGATGCCTGCTTTGATTACAATGTCGATGTGAGTTAGAACCCTGCTCTGTGTGTGTTTCTTCGTCATGTGTGTACTAATTTTGATTTTGAAACTTTCGTGACTGCAGGAATTCACATTCTTTGGTTCTTTCGGTAAAGTCACGTAGCTTGAAAAAGAATAAATAATTATTTTTATGCACTTAATTTTTTATTCTCATTTTTCTATCTACGTCACTTTACCGAAAGAACCAAAGAATAAATAATAATAATATTACAAAGTTAATTTTGTTACGCTTGCTTGCAGAGCCATTGCATTGCATAAACATGATCTAGAGGGAGGTTATGTTTGCATTTTATGTAATAAAAATGAAGATAATATGGTGTGCAATTAATAATGGATTAATGTCGCTAAAGTAGTTTGTCTTGTTATGCTAATGTGCTGACAAAATAACATGCAGATGTTAGCATAATTTCTGCTTTCTGTCTTCGTGTTTTGCAATTATGGCAATTACTTACGAGCCCCTTGCACTGTCATGGAAGTTGTCAACACGTATCACAGTAGCTCTACACGAGCATATACTGAAATGTTTTATGGCTTACATTAGCAGGTGAATTGAACCCACTTAAGGACGTCCAATATCACTACGCTCTTTTCCAAACTTCATTGACCGATTCGTGAAGAATAACTTATGGACGTTCTCTCCTACTGTTGCGTCTTCTATTGTTCCTTTGCTACCAGAGGATAAACTTCATTTACAAATTAACATTTTTTCCCCCCCATTTCAATGTTCTTGATACAAGGCATCAGCAAAAAAGAAATGTGTTTATGCTTTCTACAATGTGACATTTTTTACCTTTCTTTAAGCTTTGTCGTCACGTTTGCATCTCTTTCTTTTCCATTGTTTTTTCCTTTTAAATCCTTTTTGAATTTTACTCATGAATCTTTATCTTGCAGGATGAGCCCATGTGCTCCGTGTCGAACCAAGCCTCCAATGTGATCCCTTCTACTCTTGCTCTATTTTTCATTCCAGCATTAGTTCAAATCCTTGTCCAGGGTCAGTCATGCTTCCGTTAATCTCACCCATTTTGTGCTCTCCCTTTTTCGAAAGGAAACGGGAAAGTTTCATTTTTGCCTTGGGGGCACAACACGGACAAACGTTGGCAAAAAAAACAAGATAAATGTGATATTTTGTAAGCTCCATCTTGACTACATGTTTGGATGGCAGGCTGACCCAGTTGAAACCTGAATAATGCATCGAGAAAGCTTGCCGATCTCTTACCACGGTGCTTATAAATAACCCCCACGGGAATGCAAATAAAGTCCTTTTACAATTTGGGGGGAGGTCTGTATGGCAGTCTACATTAAAGTAAATGAATGGTGACATCAAATACGAATTGTTTCAAAATGCAAGTGTGTATTAAGGACTGCCTTATGATACTAGGTCGTACAGCAGCTATATGGCTGCAAAAATGCTCACGTGAAACTGATTGGCTGCATGCCTTGGTGAGCCCATCACAGCCAAGATTCAGAAAATGAAATAAACTACACCTCATCATGGTTTCTTATTATATTAAACCACAAACGTAGGATTTGTGATGCCACAAAAGTAATGCCTCCAATTTTCTATTATCAAATTCTTGGAAATGTTATCATCAGCAGCATTTGGCTGTTTTTCAAGCATAGCCACCATCCTCGTATATGTAATTGCATAAATATGGAATCAGAGACAGCATTCCATTAGGACAAATATTATTTATAAACATCACATACACATTATAAATAAGAAAAACACATTGTACAGAAAACCATACTGTATGGCCAGTGGTGGCTCTGCACGCCTGTAATCCAGCACTTTCGAGGCATTGGTTGATTGATTGTTTCAAATATTGCGAATCTCCCTGTGGGCATTTGGGTTGCTCTACCCTGGCTTACCAGAATAAGGTGGTACAGAAAATATTAACTTCACCTGTTCCATCTGCATGGGATAAATCGTAGAGTGTTGTCCCCTAAAAACGGGTGATAACATCTTATATAGAGGATCACAGAGCCTGGTGGGGAATTTGGAGGCAGCTCACCTCCCACGTGTCTGTGGATCCTCGTGCCTCTGAGTCGTTCCCTCTCTCACTTCAAGAGTGAGCAACGACTGTGTGACGTATGACGAGGTTGAAATTTTAATTAACAAAAAATAAAATCATCCTGACAAAATTGCACACGCATAGGCCAACCTCAAACGGCTGAACGAGATTGTTAATCGGAGGGTGCCTAGATCTGGGCTCTGCAGTCCACCCAAACTCTGCAGTGACCTGTGTGATATACTCAGGCTCATATCTGTGCCGGAGGAGGTCTTCCACCATTTAAAATACAATGTTCATGGCTTTCTCATGAATGAAGTTGTAAATTGTTGCATCTCTTCAATACAATGTATTGGCAGAAAATAAATAAGAGGCATTACTTTTGGAGTAACGCTCATGTTGAAACCAAGTTATCCAATTGTATTAACATGTTTTATTATGTTTCCAATAATATACAGTAGAAAATAAACTCAACACATTCGTCAGCAGCACTGCCTTAAAAGAGTAAAGTATAAAATAGGTGGCGATTGGCCCTTCTGCATAGCATGGTTCATAGAATAGCATGCTATGAAGGAGAGCCCAAAACGTCGTTAATCACGTACTTTTCTTTCAAGGCAATGTTATTGATGAATGTGGTCAGTATTTGTTGTTTAAGCTTGTACATTACTCCTAACGCGCTATCACCAATTAATTTGTTCTCAAGTTTATAGGCTATGTTGTTGGTTGCTTGTTCCTATTTTAAGGCACACCACTTGACGATGTGGTGGCCTTAGTTAAAAGTGATATGCACTTTTAATTGGGCTTGGTGCTCCAGTTCACAGCATATGAGAGCAGTCCAACGTGTGCATGACTTGAAGCTGTACGCAACCCGTGGGCGGCTCGTGTGGGGCGGAGTGTGCGGCTGGCAATGTTTCGGCTCTTTGTGACACGAAGCCTGTCACATCGCTGCTGTGCAGCCTGCTGTAAAATAAGGCCCTATTATAAGGATGCATTATTCACCTGTAGCTGATTTGGGATGATTCATCAACTGGGTTATTTTGTCTGCCTAGCATGAAGTCAAGTATGGCAATTGTGTAGTTGCAGCAGAAATCTATTATGAAAACGAAGTTGTACATAATTTCGAGTTACACAAAAACTGATAGTCGTGTGCATACCAAAAAAAAAACACTTGTGTTCAATTGTGAGAAGTGACAGAGCAGTCGTACACAGTGTATTGAGTTATCTTACTAAGTTCATGATTTCACTTTCCCAGCAACTGTGCACAAAATCTCAAGTGTGTGTTTCAGGTAACATGTAAAGAAAGTTAAAGCTCCACTCTCTTTTCCTTACCCGTCTAAGAGACTTCGAGGCGTCAAATCCACTCTTTCATACTTTCATAAGCTCGAGCAAAACATCATGGGGTTTTTTGGCGAAATGGATCAGGCTCCCATTGCTAACAATGTAGAAAGTAGCTCAGTACATGAAATGTAGGGCACAGCTGTCTTCTCTTCCTTTACACGGCTCGCAAGCCTTTCGCCGTTAATTTGGTGCTTTTAGCTGTAACAACGCAGAGCCAGGTTTTGCTTCTATTGTGGGAAAACTGCTGATGGAAGATTTCGTGCAAGAAATGCCTGTGTCGGTAATGATAACGGGAAGAAAATCCATTTTGAGCATCGCAGTGATTTTTTTCACAATATAGAAATGTAAGAGCGTTTTGGGTTACTTTGAATTGTTACCATCAAGTGTAATTTGGAGTAAGTAATCAAACTGCAAGGTTTGTGTTTTAGAGTGTTGCATAGTCTTCTTATCTGACCGCAGACTTGTGAAGTGTTTCTGGAATACAATAAACGTGGAGACACCACTTTTAATCACGTTAGTTGCATTTCCACTTTAGATTTCTGCTGCGATGTCACATCTATCACCATTTACCAAGTTTGTCTGCATCATGTGTGGAACGTTGTGAAGCTGTATGAGAGGGGTTGGCATGATCCCACTGCATGCATCGATTCTGAATGCCATGCTTGATGAAAGAGCCTTGCTACTCAAATAAATCTGAGGGTGCTGGTTTCCAGCCTTTTGCTAGCTCCATCAGCGGTCATGCCAATGCATACAGCTTCTTGCATGTTACTTTTTGTTTGTGCACACCACGTTTATTTATTAACACACAGCTCAAATGGACGGTGGCGGTAATGCTTTACTAAGTGCACAATGAGCAAGATATTAACTCTTGTTGATGCCAAAGGGGGTAGAACCAGCAATGATGGAGAGCTGTAGCTTTTGTCCACGGATGGATATGGAACATTCCAGGCTACATTGTACCAGACGATAATTCTGCCTCTGAGAAATAAAAATAAACCACTTAGTTGCTCCCAAATAATGTCCACTTGTGTTAACTTACAAAGGCATAACGTGTAGTGAGAGATGGATTTATACAAATAACTCACCATGCACATGACATGTGCCATGCCTTCAGCTTCCAATCAAGGTCTGGTTCCGCTACCTATGGTTGGCAGTACTTGCTGTGACTTGCATTGTCTTGATTAACTTGCCTTGCTACCCCATTGCTACTTGTCATTTAATTACAAGATGAGTTTTGCAAAAGTCCATGGAATCATGGTCTAAAAAAATGGATTTTCCACAATGAAAAATACGCAAAACTGAAATAGCATAATGGTACCTCGTATCTCAGTAACATTTAAATCCGCAAATGTATATTCTGTAGAAAGCATTTCATTTATATACACTGCCTTTGATGTTTATGGATCTTATATATTTGGCGGTGAGACTTAACTTTGCATATCGCAGCAAAGAACAACAGAAATAATTACTTTAATGCATGGTGACAAACGGAACGCTGTGCTACGAGTTAAAATACATTCTTAAAATGCACCTTTGAGTACCCTCTCAGATGGATTTAGTCCATATAGTGGCGCTCTGAATGGGCAAGTTGTAAACAAAGTGTGCCTCTACGTTGATCTGTCATCACAGTAACGAGTGCACGTTGGTGTGCGTGTGTGCGTGTGTGCGCCTTCTGCTGGCTGTTCCTGTTCTCTGGCACAGGAGGATGTCTCTGAGTGTGGTCATGGCACCATGCTGAGGCCACACGTGCTGGCTCTGCTTACCTTTCAGGTCTGCCTGCTATGGCTCCTCATTCCCACAGACAGCTGCTTCTCGTGACCGTCACCCACCCATCCGTCCAAACTGCCCCCTTAAAACAATGACCTTGGTGGGACCTCATGCTGTGACACTTCAATGTCCTCTTGCCACACCTCTCTCGGTTACCACAGGCTCGCTCATGCGCTTATATAAGTAATCAGTGGGGAAATAATGCTACTTTGGTCCCTCTCTGTTGCAGTGAAAGTGCTGCGAAACGACAGGTTTTATCTATTTTTTTAAAATATTATTTTCGTGTTAAAATATGTACCCAGGCGTCAGTGTGAACATGACGCCTTGTGTGAGACACAGGAGTGACAGAGACTGTTGTATGAAATATGGGAATAGAGGAAAGAAATATCGCAGTCTTGCATCCTTGTGCTCCATTCTATATTGGGTATGCCAATATGTTGTCAATGTATAATTTTCTCCTTCATTGCCCAGTTGCGCTGATAGGTAACCATTTCAGCTTACGTCCGTGCAAATTTCAATAAGAGAAGTCCTTTGCAAAAGTATTTGACAAACTATATAACGGTGTCTTTTAAAAAACGTATCAATACTAAACTACCTGGTTTTGTCTCTTTGTGTTGAAATAAGAAAGATCGATGTTTAACCAATGTTAAAATACCTCCTTTTTGTTTTTATTATTTTAAATATGGAATAAAAAAAAACAAGCAGTGTTTATATGATAGTTGCAGCACAAGTACACAATTGGTGTATATAACTTAAATATGACATTCTTTTAATAAAAAAAAATTACCAATAACACTTGTATATACCTACTCGTTCGAGGATGTGTCAAATCAAATATAATAAGAACTGCAATGAAGCACATATCAACTCTCATCTCCAACTTGCAGTTTTGTTCCTACGTTTAACAACAGAAGGCGCGTTTGTCGAAGTTCATTTTTTGTTGGAAACATTTCAGATTTTTATTGTAGTTTCCCTTTTTTTGGTTAGGGATGGGCTAGGGAGCTACCGCATGGTGGTATCTAAGCGATTGATTTCAGGATATAATTTGCCACATTTTCATTGTAATCTTACTTTATTGCCGTTTGATTCATAAATAATGTGGGGGGAGGGTTTTTTTTGGTCAGTGCCTATGTTTAAATTGGCTTCAATGTTTTGTTCTGTAAACACATTTGAAAGAACACGAAGGTATATATATGGAAAGAGATCATGCTTTATTGATCCCCTATTGTATTGAGACCAGCCTATCCCTTAAAACATTCCAGCGTGCATGAAGAAACAAAAAACCCATATATCCTAGCATTTGCTAGACATTGATCCTTGAAAGCCATTTGTTGCATAGCTCAGAGCCATTATTCAGCCACATACACCTTTCTGCATTCATGAATGGAATGATCTGCAATTACTGTAGTGAGTCCGTGCCTGTTTGAAGATTGAATGCTAAGGCAAAATAATAAAATAACTATTAAAAAAATATTTATATATACAGTACTTGGTGCGTATGTGGAAGATGTTATTTTAGAATGTTGAGCATTTTTTCATGCACTAAATGATCACATTATTTCTACTTCAGTACGCTGTCACTAAATAGATTGAATGTTGGTAACGTCCACATGTTATTTAAGAGTGCTTGGCAGCTTTTGCATTGTGAAACCCACACCACGCCACCCCACACCACCACCCCACACCACAAATGTTCTCTCAAAAAAATGTTAAATTTTTGTAAATTCGGAGCATTTTTGTAATTTCTGATTGTGAATAAGAATATAAGATGGACGTCTGCTTCAAAGTTGTTAACATGCGATTGCAGTCCGTTTACTCTGAATTGATCACAGATGATAATGCCAACTTATTGCAACTTGAAATACTTGTGTTTTAATATATGGAGGTAAAGAAACCGATATGTGGAGTAATCATTTTCATAGCTGTACTTTAGAAAAAAGTCTGCAATAAAAAATGTTAATAACGTATGCTACTCATGTGCTAACTACAGTATTCAAATCCCATGGCTATTCTGTTAATTTCAGATTTACTTTGTAACATTACTTAAAGCACTATTATGTACATTGTGTTATTTATAACTGTAATCTGATTTAAAATTAAAGTACAGTATCTATTAAAGAAATCCTGTGGTACGTGTGTTTAATATGAAATGCTGTTAAACATTTTTCTTTTTTACAGTTTGCATTTGAAGAAAGTTACTCAACATTCAACTTTTTATACGTAGAACATGAAAGAGGCCAGAGTAATGCGATTGTGGCCATGCAACCCGAACTATGGACCATACAATAAACCACGTGTCTATGGACCATACAATACACCACGTGTCTATAGACCATACAATAAATCACGTGTCTATGGACCATACAATAAACATCTATTGTCTATGGACCATACAATACACCACGTGTCTATAGACCATACAATAAACCACGTGTCTATGGACCATACAATACACATCTATTGTCTATGGACCATACAATACACCACGTGTCGATGGACCAGACAATACACCACGTGTCTATGGACCATACAATACACCACGTGTCTATGGACCATACAATACACCACGTGTCTATGGACCATACAATACACCACTATTGTGTATGAACAATACAATAAACCACTATTGTGTATGAACCATACAATAAACCACGTGTCTATGGACCATACAATAAACCACGTGTCTATGGACCATACAATACACCACGTGTCTATGGACCATACAATACACCACGTGTCTATGGACCATACAATACACCACGTGTCTATGGACCATACAATACACCACGTGTCTATGGACCATACAATACACCACTATTGTGTATGAACCATACAATAAACCACGTGTCTATGGACCATACAATAAACCACGTGTCTATGAACCATACAATAATCCAAGTGTCTATGAACCATACAATAAACCACGTGTCTATGAACCATACAATAAACCACTGTTGTGGTTTAAATATCTAGCAGCTTTTTGGGGGGAATTGGACATTATCCCGATTTAAAATAGATTCCAGGTAAGCGTTAACTATTAAGAACCCCTGTATCAATTCACTGTGCTTAGTTAAGGCCACGGGGCAGTTAACGTGGGGGGCTCTAGAGAGTGTTACAATATTGCATACTTTGTTATGTTGCACAACGCTTTTGTGTCTGTGATCCTTTCCTTTCAACCCGCGCTAATCAGCGTGGTTGAAGAACGACTTTGTAATTAGCGAAGCATCTCGGCCCTTATCCACGGTCGCTTGCTGTACGTGTACAAATTGTGTATGTGCCGTGTGTTGACACCAGCGTTCTTCACTCATTGTACAGAAAAGGGGGGGGGGGGGGCGGGGCACTTTCGCCGATAAAACTTCAGTGTAGAGGGCCGCCACACATTTGAAATCAGTTTAACACCGTAAGCTTTCGCGACCACTATCATCCCATAATAGAGGGGTTTTTTTGGGTTAGATCACGTAAATATATAGATGTGTCGCTAAAACCCGACACCACCCGACACAGCGAACTAGTAAGTGTTGTCACGTAAACAGAACATCCCAATTCGTGACTAGTACAGCACACCGGTGTGTTGGAGAGCCGAGTCACAACATTTACAATCTGAGTACGACGTTTCGCCAGTAATTACAACCAGCTTCATCAGGCGAAAGCCAGATTTGTAGAGCAGTCTCACTGTTTCAGTCCTGATATAGAGGCGTAGGTGTGGTGACCACGCTTCTTGCGCTCGGTTGGGGTTTGACAGCTCGATGGGGTGGTGGCAGGGGGGGTGACGTGCGGTGTCCGCCCGCAACGTCTAGCCAGGTCGTGGAGTCACATCGCGGGTCGGCAACCTGCGGGTCCAGAAGCCGCACTCCGCACGCGGCTCTTTCAGGACTGCTTCTTGATGCTATTAACGTTGCATTGCGGATCTTGAAATATTGAGGGCGTTTTTATTATTATTACACGCTTTTACTTAACTCTGTTGCCGTTGTTGTTGTTGTCGTTGTTGTTGCATCCTCAAATATTGTAACTCAATTTTAAGCCACATCCCAATGTGGTATCGACTGCAAACTTGGTATACTTACAGTGAGGGAAAAAAGTATATGATCCCCTGCTGATTTTCAACGTTTGCCCACTGACAGAGAAATGATCAGTCTATAATTTTAATGGTAGGTTTATTTGAACAGTGAGAGACAGAATAACAACAACAAAATCCAGAAAAACGCATGTCAAAAATTTTATAAATTGATTTGCATTTTAATGAGGGAAATAAGTATTTGACCCCCTCTCAATCATACAGATTTCTGGCTCCCAGGTGTCTTTTATATAGGTAATGAGCTGAGATTAGGAGCACACTCTTAAGGGAGTGCTCCTAATCTCAGCTCGTTACCTCTATAAAAGGCACCTGGCCACAGAAGCAATCAATCAAATTCCAAACTCTCCACCATGGCCAAGACCAAAGAGCTCTTCAAGGATGTCAGGGATACGATTGTAGACCTACACAAGGCTGGAATGGGCTACAAGACCATTGCCAAGCAGCTTAGTGAGAAGTTGACAACAGTTGGTGCGATTATTCGCAAATGGAAGAAACACAAAATAACTGTCAATCTCCCTCGGCCTGGGGCACCATGCAAGATCTCACCTCGTGGAGTTGCAATGATCATGAGAACGGTGAGGAATCAGCCCAGAACTACACGGGAGGATCTTGTCAATGATCTCAAGGCAGCTGGGACCATAGTCACCAAGAAAACAATTGGTAACACACTACGCCGTGAAGGACTGAAATCCTGCAGCGCCCGCAAGGCCCCCCTGCTCAAGAAAGCACATATACATGCCCGTCTGAAGTTTGCCAATGCACATCTGAATGATTCAGAGGACAACTGGGTGAAAATGTTGTGGTCAGATGAGACCAAAATGTAGCTCTTTGGCATCAAATCAACTCGCCGTGTTTGGAAGAGGAGGAATGCTGCCTATGACCCCAAGAACACCATCCCCACCGTCAAATATGGAGGTGGAAACGTTATGCTTTTGGGGTGTTTTTCTGCTAAGGGGACAGGACAACTTCACCGCATCAAAGGGACGATGGACGGGGCCATGTACCGTCAAATCTTGGGTGAGAACCTCCTTCCCTCAGCCAGGGCATTGAAAATGGGTCGTGGATGGGTATTTCAGCATGACAATGACCCAAAACACACGGCCAAGGCAACAAAGGAGTGGCTCAAGAAGAAGCACATTAAGGTCCTGGAGTGGCCTAGCCAGTCTCCAGACCTTAATCTTATCCTATAGAACATCTGTGGAGGGAGCTGAAGGTTCGAGTTGCCAAACGTCAGACTCGAAACCTTAATGACTTGGAGAAGATCTGCAAAGAGGAGTGGGACAAAATCCCTCCTGAGATGTGTGCAAACCTGGTGGCCAACTACAATCTGTGATTGCCAACAAGGGTTTTGCCACCAAGTACTAAGTCATGTTTTGCAGAGGGGTCAAATACTTATTTCCCTCAATAAAATGCAAATCAATTTGTAACATTTTTGACATGCGTTTTTCTAGATTTTGTTGTTGTTCTGTCTCTCACTGTTCAAATAAACCTACCATTAAAATTATAGACTGATCATTTCTCTGTCAGTGGGCAAACGTACAAAATCAGCAGGGGATCAAATACTTTTTTCCCTCGCTGTATGTCATACTGATGACAATTCTATCATAAAATATATTATTTTTTTAAACGCCCCACGCTTTTATTTGTAGTCAGTTACAACAACAGTATATTAAACATATATACTGCAAAGTACTTGAACATAAAAAAGTCATTTTAACTTTTCGCTACGTTTCATAAAAGCGTGTTTACATTTTTTTAATATATAAAATGTTTTTCCGTTTTCACGTCTGTTTTGTCTTGCCAGGGGCCGCATTAAAGGCCGCCACTGGCCGCCACGGTCCGCGGACCTTACGATGAAGAACGCCGCAAGACACAGAGGGACTTCTTCGGGTTCATTTGGCGAGTTTTCGCTATGCAAGAGTTGGCAACACTGCGTTAACACCAATACAACAGTGTAACTTCGTCACGCCTGCAGGAGCTCAGCCACGCTTTGCGAGTCGGGGACGCGTCCTGTTAGCCAATTGTTCCCCGTGGTTCTGGTTACATGACATTTCAACAACTCGCGCCCTGTAGCCCGGATAGCGTGCCCCACGCAGGAGCAAAGGGGGAGCTGGCTGGTACAAACGTGTGTGTGTGTGTTGTATGTATGTTGAACTTTTTTCGCACCGCACGTAGCCAACCGTGCTAATCGGAGGTGATGTGTGTCAGGTTGGCGCGTTGTGCCACGAACCGGGAAACCCGAGTTTGATTCCCGCTCACGGCCAAGAACACAGGTAACGATTATCCGAACCGGCCCTCGGCCTCCCCTAGGTCGACTCCAGCCTCAAATTAGTACCTGATGCGGTGCGTACATATCACCATTGGGGAGACAAAGGCGGCCGGGCGTCTTGTTGGCCACCCCCACGCCCTTTGTGTGCCGTACCGGCCCTTCAAGAGTGCTCGCCAACATCACTTGTCCCAATACTCTCTCGAAGTAGTCCATACTACGGGGGGGGGAGGGGGGGGGTAGGTTAGATGGCATAAATATATAAATGTGTCGTTAAACCCGCCACCACCCGACACAGCCAACTAGTAAGGGTTGTCACGTCAACAGAACGTGGCAAATTCGTCACTAGCACAGCACTAACCGGTGTGTTGGAGAGCCAAGCCACAACATTTACAATCTGAGCACGACGTTTCGCCAGTAATTACAACTCGCTTAATCAGGCGACAGCCTGATTTGTGGAGAAATGCTCCTGTTTGGTTCCTTGAATGGCTATACAGGGGGTGCTGTGTTGAACGTGGCTGTGGCTAACCAGAGCCGTAACATTGCGCAGGATGAAACCCTGCCACGTGTGGCTCATTTTTACAACTTGCAAGTGATTCTGCCTCCGAGGGTGAAGGGGTGGTTCACAACTCTGGTTTGGGTTTAGTTACTTGACGAGGCCAATGGGCTTGTCTAAGCCGAGGAAATCAATAATGGGATAAACAATCAAGATTGCTCACCGCAAAGGCAGAACAGATTTGGACAGCCAATCAGTGCATGGAAGAAAGAAAATCGGTGTGCAGCAGCGCTTTCCAACACAATGTCACGGCGTGGCTATGTTTTATACGTTAAAAACACCAAAATCAAACGTAGTTTCTTCAAGTAACTTCATTTCTATATAGGAAGTTTCGTGTTGTTTTTTTTCTCTGAGACTCGCCAGCCTGCACGTCTTTTGAACGTGAGCGTTTCTCTCGAGGTAAGACCTCACGGCTGTTACCAATATGCATGATTGTTTTCATTATTTTAATAACAGCCACAGTTTAACGTTCATATGTTGGAAAATGAAGCGGTATGAATGAGTTTGCCAGGGATTTATGTTAAAACTCATCATTATAATCTCGCGATCGCAAACTGTGTTGCTCCAGAGACGCATGCGGCTCTTTAAGGAACTGCTTCGTGACAGATTAAGGACTCATTGTCTCGTGTTCGCATGCATTGCCACTCTTTAATTATATATATTTTTACAGAATTCGAAGAAAATAGGCTCTTCATTTTCGTTGCCGACCTCCTGTGTTAGGTTGATAATAATAATTCGTGTTGTGAAGTTGTGACGCATGTTGGCCAACGGCAGGGGGCGATATAGGTCGTAGTGATGCAATGATTGTCGTGAGGCTCGTGACAGGTCCGTGTGTTTAGTGTGCCGCAATGAGTTTGAGTTTAAGTTTTTTTTACACCGATGGTCCCGTTTAGCCGACTGCAGGGTTCCTTTACGAGGGAGATTCGTGGTGTGTGACCACAGCAACGACAAAAACAAAATAAAAAAAAAATTACTGAGGAGAACGAGCACACGGCCCTTAAGGAGTACCGCAGGGATCACAATGAGACTCTACCATGGGACCTTTTTTTGCCAGGATCTGGGGAAGACCAATCAGTTTCAAAGACAATGCATCATATTATCAGAGCATGTTTGCTTGCATGTTCACCACAAGTACCCTGTGTGGTTAATGCAGTACTTGATTCCTTGAAAACGGTCTCTATTTGGTGTTTGAACATGTTAACACCCCCTGTGTTATTTCCAGAAAGGGTAAGACCTTACTTTTCATACATTGTGACCGAAATTGTTTATCCAAGCGTTTTAACCTGTATAGCATTGGTCACCACGGACCAACAAGAGTATTATTAAGACAAATGAAATCAAGTGACGACTGGTGTGAACGTGAGATTGTATAGTCTGAAAAAACAAAGTTGCTTTAAAAAAACACACAAAATGACCTTGTAGTGAAGCGAGATGTGTTAAGGTACTCTCTTCTTGCACTGCCTCACGTGTTATATACGCCGAGATATTCAGCATTATAACTTTAACTGAGGAATTCCGAAACGTCACATTGAACACCGTAGACAAAATCGCGGTGCAGTTGGTTAACCTGCTGCGTTATAGCAAATAAATAGACCCGAGTTTTGGATTCAAAACCCACGGCTAATATCGGTCGCAAGTGATATCAGAACCGATCCTGTACGATACATATACAGTAACATGGTACATTGTGTTAAAATCATGGAGAGCGTAACTATAAGGTTTAGTAACCCTTCCTCACGTATCGGTCTTGCAAGCAGCATTGACAAGTGGGGAGCAGCATTAAAAAACATTTCATTCGGCGCAATTTAATAGCCAAAATATGGACAGAAAATTTCGTAATTTATTATAAAATGAAAAAAGTTAAACACGTGTTTTAACAGTCTAAAAGCATCATTGGACACTTTCACATTAATAGTTGTCAGATGCGTTAAAATCATGTCTTAAGTTCTAGTGGTTGCATCAAGAGCCGCATTCTGTTTAAATGTGTTCTAAGTGCCGCGTTGGACAGTGCATGCGTGTGCGATCAAAGGAGGATACAACACACAGGTATAGAGCATGAGAGGTAGAAAACACCGAGGTGAATCAATACAAATCAGCGTTTCAGCACTATCCCCTCGTTCCAGTCAACGTGTAGGCCTGTTGCCATAGTAAAGTGGCGGCTGCACAGTAAGCAAACAGGGCGTCGCATCGGTTCAACACCTCCGTTAATCTATAACTCCAGAGTTGAATTTCACTCATTCATCCCATCCAGCATCCGCTCTCCATCGTCCTCCACGCCACACACACAGCGCGAGCAGGCTGCTGCTGACTTACTAAATGTGAACAAGCACGGATCAATATGTGCCGAGGAAGAAAGATGGGATGGGCAACGTTTTAGCCAATTGGCCTTCGCCAGATTTTCTTTCACAGTGGATATTGATTTGTATCCAGCCCACTCACCCCAAAAAGCTTATTCGACAATCTGCCCTTCACTCAAACCCTCCCCTCAATTATCAAGAAATAACAATACGTATACAGCATATCTACAATTTCATATACATTGTGCACATAAATGTTATACTGATTATATTATGAATATCGGTCATTTATAAATGCCGTACAGTACATTTTGGTCCATGCTACATATGCCAGCTGGTCACACTATGTTTAAACACATTTTGCACTTATAAAGACATATACATTGCTTTTTATACCTATTGTGCTGCTAAAAATGTACACATTTCTAATGACATGTATAAATTGTGCAGTTGGTTCAGAGCATTGACATTAGGGATATCACATTAAACATTTAAGAACCCATCAATCGTGACTACGCATACCTAATTTTTCTTTTTCACCGAATAATGCAACCGCTCATCATGTACACATCGTATATTATAAAAATAAATAATTGCGTTAACGGGCAACGTGGGTTCACACATTGTACACATTATTACAGTAAACGCGTCCTATTATCATTTCCATATATATATATAAATTATATATCTGCGCTGCCCAGATGGACACACGTGCATTGCATTGCGCTTCATCAGCATACTGTATGAAACGCTGTGAGTACCCCCCCCACCAACGCTACTTCTACTGTCGACCCTGCTATGTCTATGCGTGGCCTCCTCCCGCTTTCAGCACCATGGACAGCGCATTGTGTACATAGCCCCTCCAATGCTACTTCTTGCCCTGAGCCTGCGCTGTCCGTGGTGCTGAAAGCAAGGTGGCCGCGCACGCGCACTGGCTTCCTCGGTGAAGGTGGGCGGGCGAAGTGGATTTAAACGGCTTTAGATTTGTCAGAGCGGACTGGCTCAACTCGCCGGGGAGACGAGCGTGGATTGGAAGGCGCCGTGCTGACAGCGCTCGGCTGGCCAGTGGCGTGCGCCGAAATCAGTGCCGGAGCGCATGCGGTCTAAGGAATCTTAAGGTGTGGATATTTGCAGCAGCAGAAGCAGAAGCGTCAGCGTCATTCGTCCCGGCGGAGAGAAGAGCGAGCTCGGAGCGGGCCGCTCTTCACAATTAACGGCATAAGCCAATCATCAACAACAACAACAACAATTATAATGTCAATTCTATAAATACCAACGGTGGAGAAAATATCACAAGATGTGCATAGGAAATAAACTCTGAGAGAAGGTTGCAAAAAAATGATTTAAAGATAAACAACACCATCACCATCCTCATCTACTCTAACGAAGCGTGCAAATTAGGACATCGTTGATCGATAACTGTATGCGGCGACGAGAGCGGCAGCAACAACGGGGCCAACGGGAACAGCGCGGCTGTTTGTTGAAGAGTGGGTGTGACGGCACGGCGAGAGACCCACAACAGCTGCACGAGCCATGGGCAACGAAGCGAGCGCGGAGGGGGGGGTGGAAGAAGGAGCCACTCAGCCGAGCAGAATGAGCCATCTCAGCGAGGAGGAGAGGAAACAGATTGCAGCTGTGCTCTCCCGAGCAGAGGCTGGGGCCACCCTAACACCTAGGTAAGAGAGCAAGCGAGGGGGGCGTTGGAGGGGCTTTGGGGTGATGATAATACCTGAGCATGCATTGCATCCCCTCGGTAGACTCGGCCTTAAGGTGGAATTGAACCAGTACCGGGTGACGTACAGGACAACGGGGAGTACGCGGTTCTTTTCCGGCCGAGTTGAGATGAATGGGTACTCGCGGACGGAGAGAGCAATTGATTGCATTGTACGGTTTGGCACCTTTTTTTAAGGGTGAAACGGGCGGCTTGACCTGATCCTTTGTGGTGTGAATGTGTAGTCGCAACGCGTGTAGTCTCCGTGTTTGTATCCTCTGTACCGTGTAGTTCATGCGCAGGTAGGTGTGTGGCCAAACGCGTGATTGCGCTGAGATTTTGTGGGGGGGGGGGGTTCAGTCCATGTGCATGTATAGCCCACTTTGTCATTCCACTGCTGGATGAGCGCCGCCCCAAGACGTGAGGGTAGTGGGAGAAGGGCGAGGGGGGTGCTATTGACCTTACTCCACCACGCTGGTCACTTCTGGTTGGTGAAGGAGGCAGGCAGTACAGAATTGCAACAATTATATGGCGACAACGGAAACACGGTACTGAGATTAATTGGGAATGCCTGCACTGTGCAGTAATGCACTTAAGGTGAGAGATGGCAGTGTTGAGTGTTGTCTCCTTCATATGCGTGGGGTTTCCTCTGGGTTCTCCGGTCTCCTCCCACAAGCCAAACATTCATGGCAATGGAAAAATATATACAAATGCAGGACCCGACTTTGACATATTCATTAGATTCGCTGATGCTTTTCTGGGCCATAATTCCCATTTAGATAGCTATCCTTTGCTACTGTCGCTTATCAAAATGAATACTGTGTCGGTCCCAGATTATTTGTCCATATATATGTATTGCATATATAGTGTTATACTGTAATATGCTTATATGTATAGTAAAATATAATGTACCGTATATTGATCTGTCTATGTATTGTCCTGTATCTGTACATTATATGCAGGCATGCTCAGTACAATATACAGCATGGATGTACGCACATACATGATGTGTGGATACGCATATTGCATGCTGCACAAGAACACGTGTAATCGTGTTGCAACATTTGATACATATGTGCTGTATGTGCAGTATGAGATCTGGCAAATACTCTAATGTTTTGTGCACACTGCAAATACACCTTACAAAGTATCTCCATTGTTCATCGCCATGTTTCTCAAGGTTTTAAGTGTATAAAATACCTATACCCCGTCATGATAACCTAATAAGTTCTAGGCCTTTGTCAATCAACTGCTGGATGAAGGCCTCCAGCCATACTAAATATAAGAGACTGCCCATCCATTCTGTACCGTGTCTGTGTATGTAATTCACGATTCAAGTGCTTCCTAAGAGCCCCTTAAAACACCTATGGAAGTAGAGCATGCTTGCGAAGTAGAATATATCGTGCAGATACAAGGTTGATGCCCATGTGAAAATAATTTAAATTGTAATATTAAGTTGTCTGCTCGGCTTAAGCGTATTTCACTACTTGAGGGCTTTTTTTGCTGTTTTATGTTTTGCTAATAAAGTATCGCAATCCACATCGTGTGCTGCTAGAGGCGTGGGAAGAGCCGTGGTGTTTTCGTGTGTAAGCGGTGTAGGTAGACGTCAAGAGCTACTCATTGCGCTCAGAATGATGCTCCTCGCAGACCTTGAATAACGCAGCCTGTTTGCGTTACGCGTCCATGCGTTGTTGAGTTTGGTAATGAGCCAACAGTGGCATGAGGCACTGGCTGCGATATACTGTGCTGAATATACTGCAGATGAAATTGCGCTGGTGTAGTGAATTTATACCACGTGTAATGTATACATAAAGTGCATACGTGTAGATGTATATGAATGTGTACTCTTTTATATGAATGTGATACGAAGCCAAATACCCAACCACATGCCAACGTTTAGCCAACGTTGGCATGTGGTTGGGCCAAGATTAGCCCAAAGTTCCATGTTCACTGCTTGGTATGCATAGGCATAAACGTTACGTTTATTAGAAGGTTTTTTTAAAGACTCTGAGGGGATATAAAATGTTCACACAACATAATATGTATTTTACTTTTTGGTTCTCTCGGTAAAGTCACGTAGAAAGAAAATAAATTAAATAATAGAAAACAACGTTTCGATTGCAACACAAGCAATCATCATCAGGTACAAATGAATGAGAAAAAAACAAACCTAGTAAACTTATACATATAATGCAATACAATACAGAGAGTCGGCTGACATAACAGTCAACACCCTACCTGGTTGATTACGTTCTTCCAAAGAGTGCTAAATTTATGTATTATCACATGAAGCCATATAGACGAGCCTCGTGTTAAAGATTGCCGTGACAGTACAGGATTGGGCTCTTAAACCATTATTTATCATCTTCTCTATATCACATTATCATAAGTGCTTAAATACCCAACACCTTAAAAATGCATTCCGCGTACATGCTGCGTACGGTATGAGCGCTGCTCTCTCGTTCTTGACACACCGCCGACGCCTGACGCCCTGCAGGAGCACGGAAGGGGGATCGTCGTCAAAAGGGAAGCCATCGCGAGCCACGTCCAGATCCACCTCGCGAGCCACGTCCCCCGGCGATTCTAAAGAAAGCTTGTACCATGGCGAGCCCTCCATGTCGCTGCAAGCCAGGGACGAGGCGATGGAGAAGGGCTCCAGGGGCACTCTGGGAAGAAAATCCGCCCAGGATCGTAAGGGGCCGCCCGACAAAAGCCCGCGGGGTCTGAGTCCCGAAGTCCCGGGGCGTCTGGAGCTGTCCAGTGCCGAACGCTTGGCGCATTCGGCCGTGGAGGTGCCTCGGAGCCCGAGCAAGCCGTGGGTCGACACGCACGCCGAGACGACGACGAGACCAATGGCCATCCCCGAATCGCAGCACCGGGGCGTCGGGAAGGGTTTCCAGGAGCAACTGTCGCCCGCCAGTCCCGGAACGCCGTACCAAGTGCCGAGGTTGGCGCCGCTGCCCAAGACCACCCTCTGCCCGATCTGCACCACCACGGCGCTGAGCGTGGAGACCCCCGAGCAGCCCAACTACAACATGTGCACGCAGTGCCAGACCGTGGTGTGCAATCACTGCGGCTTCAATCCGAGCCCGCACATCACCGAGGTGCGTGAGACCGCGGCGGCGGCCGATTTCCACAATGAGGGTCCGTGTTGTTGGCCGTGCTTTTAGTGTGCGCTGCTTTAAAGACTCTCATCGCAAAGCAGTCATCTTCACTGACCTGCTTCCGTTCCTCCCTTAAAACAACCCCCATCTCTTCTTCCCTAGCCAATCCTCCTACCCCCACCCACCCAGCTACGACAAGGCCTACCCCAGCTCCTACTTAACCATTCCCACCTGTTCTCATAACTGTCGCCCTAACTACACCACCACTTTGAATAACCCCACTCTTAATTTCAACCACGATCATCTTATGGACATTTTTGTAAAACAATTCATGTAAAGTGCCTTGGAGTAATAAGGCGCTATATTCATCTATAGTAGATATGATTCACACTCAAACACTCATAAAAGGGGCAAATCTCCTGAAATGAGTCTGGCCATTCAGGAACATCTCAAAATGAATGTAGACTTAACTAAAGTGTCATGTCGACTGTCTGAAAATTCAAGTAGTGGCTATACAGCTTACATGACATTTTGAGAAGTCTGCCTAAATTTGTGAGTTATCCATCAAATGCCTAATTTTTTGTGCAATATTTTCAACATATCATCTTCAAAATCATGGTTTGCTTTAAACGCTGAATGACCTATCCAGTCCGCTGGCGAGGATAGACTTACCTACATCCATTTTCATGGTATTTTAATGAAGTGTACTTAAATGTACTCACAATTTTCCGAAAAATCAATTGCAGCTTTAACTACATATGCCATATTCTTAGCTCTTTCGGTAAAGTCACGTTGAAGGGAAACAATAAAATAATAAAACATATATAAAACAATAAAAATTCTCACGACGTTTCGACCGTTTGTGTTATGGTCGAAACGTCGTGAGAATTTGTATTGTTGTATATATTTTATTATTTTATTGTTTCCCTTCAACGTGACTTTACCGAAAGAGCTAAGAATATGAATTACTGCAGTCACGAAAGCTTTAAATAAAAAAAATACATATGCCATCTTAAGGAAACACGTGCCTATGTAAGATTTACCTTTACATTGCTAGTAACACGCTAAGGCGGTGTGTGTGCTTTACTCCCAGTTTCACATTCATTGTATTTAACTGTAGATGTGTGCAATTGTTACTGATCCGGAATTTTCATGGTTGTGTATTTTGTTCAAGCTTATAGGCCATTGAACATAAACAGAATAACAAGAATAATGCAAGCACATTATACACAGCAATTAAGCAGGCTCTTTTGTGTAACAACAAGCAACACAAAAAATCAAAAATAAGAATTACGTAAAAAATTGTTATCATCAGATTCTGTTCCCTAATGCTGTAATTATGTTGCTGTGGCGTTGACCATATGATGAATAATAAATGATCTCCACTGATGGATAAAGGCCTCCCCCATACCATGTCAGGCAACCCAAATTTTACCAGTTTGGGTTGATGAAGGAGGTTAAGGGGCAGGACCGTTTCAGATGTCACTCGCCACTGATGCTAGCTGTGGCGGTGGATTAAACTCAGGTATCTGGGTCCATTGCCCACTACACTGACCACTGCCACCGCTCCACACCATGTCACTATTGCAATGTAAAATTCACGTGGAATGTTTATTTATGACATTGATAAATTACCTGAACACAAATGATATGCAAGGTTACAGTTTTCTCTTCAATTATATATTTCAAAAGTTATTATTTTTATACATTTCTGCAGAGGCACCTGAGGCTCGAGTTGAATTGAAAAGAGTACTCAGTGAATATTGTATCGCTTGGAAATCCACGTTATTGGTGATCCATATTTGCTTTTGGGAATAAGCCATGTGGGAGTGTTATTCCAAAATTCTGTCATTAAACCGCCACCACCCAGCAAAAGTGTCACGTTCTAACAAGATATTATTTTTACGTGGCAATGTATTGATTGGATTTTGACCAATAATCTTTACGACTCTCCATAACTGAATTCGACATCAACATACGACGCGTTCTCTCAAACTGCTTTGAACTTCATCAAGTAATGTAGACGGAAATCAATAACTCGATTTTTGAATGTTTTCCATGTTTTTAGAGTCGATTATGTAATAAACTCGATTAACGAGTTCACTACCTGGATGAAGCTCAAAACAATTTGAGTGAAATGTCGCCGTACGTTGATGCTGAATTCAGTGGTGAATAGTCTGAAGCCACCAGTGAGAAGGACCTTTATTGGTCGGAATTTGATCAATACATTGGCACGCGTAAATAATATCTCCTGTAAAAGTGAATCTTGTCTGATGTTAGATCATTGTATTGGGTACGAAAACCTAGTTTTTTAGTTAAATGTTACCGGTGTCAATCTACATATTTGTAAAATGAATTACAAATATTTGTCATGCGTTATTCCATCAATGACGTATTCTTGTGCTCTTAGTCTCTGTATTACTATCGCGTGGAAACCACAAAGGTCTCCTGCAGATACCTGCCAACTAGAAGCATAAGCACGCAAAGGGCACGTGGGGTTAATGCATGGTATTGGCTGTGATCTTAAAAGCATCATTGCCTTCCTTAATAGTGTACTATGAATGCAGCTGTACGTCTTTAAAATTACTTTTCTTATCTTTGCTCATTTCCTGAAAATCGTATTAACAAATAGGCTGTAGTGTAATAATTGCATTCCATAATGGTATAGTTAGAGCATGTGCTTTAAACGGTTGTTGTTACGAAATTTCCATTTGTAGAGTCAACGTGTTACTTTTTCCAAATGCGTCATTGCTGAGACAATTGATGTGATTTCATCATTTGCGCACTGCTTCTCAGTGTGGCTGAAATGGCACTTGCCGAGAGCCATTCAGGGTATCAACGTACGGTTTAGCAACCTTTGCCAATGTACACATGGATAACTCTTGCCAAGGAGTGGATAGTACTTGCTGTGTAAGCAAAAAAGCATGAGTGCACGTTCTGAACGAGGCCACAGCGATTATATATTTACATATGTATAATATGTTCACGATTTTTGTATGACGAGAGAAAGATGAAAGATCTGAAAATCGTACCTAGACACGACATTTCGGATGATCCGATTGAAAAAAAAATGTTCAGTTGACCTTAAAAATGTCACCACAGGTCACGCCAATTCTGCGCCACTACCGCCAAAACTGCCGTTCCGTGACACCACTTTTGCTTAAATTATCAAAATATTACATGTTTGCATTACTGATGTAACGTAATGTAAACACATCTTATTTTGTGATCACATTAAAACATTCTGACATGTCGTTTATTAGCAATAAAAGTTATGCGCTGTACATTTAATTAATGTGAATCACAAAATACTACATTAAATCCAAAATTGGGCATATATTTCATTTTTTAAATATCATCTATGATAAAAAAAATGTATCCAAAACTCCTTCCTCATGTTCTGAACTTCCACGTTGCTGTTCCGCACATCCATTCCACACGTCCGATAAGCACGGTTGGCTATGTACGGTGCGAAAGAAGTTCAACATACATACATGTTACTGTCATGACAGTGGAGGGGAGGGAGGGGGGGGGGTGGAATTGGGGTGGGGCCTGCCAGGCAGATTGGCGGTCTGGCCGGACGAGAGGTCACACAGTTTACAATAGCTGCGCCGAAGCACTCTGAATCAAATATTGACTGCAACATTGGTGCATCGGAGAGAACATCACCGTATCACTAATGCCTTCCGATAGACGAGGCAATGCAATTAACCCATATCAACATTTCGAGCACTCAGTTGTTATTACCACAGTAATTATCAAGGAGAATGGGGGTACACTAAAATGCATTGACATTTAATTTTTTCCATTTTTCACCATCATAGCTTTTTCATCCGTCACGTTCTGGTTTTGGCTAATTATAGTCATGATAACACTGAGCTTATGAAATGGCACTGAGACACATGCCAGTGAGTACTGGCAATGGGAGTAGGGGAGAGATAGAGTATATAACAGGTGTGTTGGTATGTTTCATCATGACAATAGGCACTCAACCATAATAGAGGTTTTTGAGTTAGATCACATAAATTTACATTATTTGTTAAACTCGCCACCAACCGACACAACCAATTATTAAGGTTTGTCACGTAAACACAACATAGCAATTCGTTACTAGTACAGCACACCGGTGTGTTAGATAGTAAAGCCACAACATTTACAATTCGAGTACTCGAATTTACGAGTACTCGAATATTAAATATTGTCGAATACTCCTCGAATTGTTGACGTGACAAACCTTAGTAATTGGCTGTGTCGGGTGATGGTTTAACGACACATTTATATTTACGGGATCTAACCCAAAAACCTCCGATAGATAATATTCGTCGCAAAAGCCTACGTGTTAAACAGGCATATTCAAATAAGATAAAGGTACCTAAAATTAACGAATTTGTTGTATGTAGTGTGAATAAAATGGTTCAATTCGTTAATTATATTATCTGTAAACCCAAGACACATGTCAAACGTCGGTGTTGAAACCATAATCTACAATATAATGAGACTAATTATAATACTGAAAGATGAATAGTAATCGAAACATTAATTAAGTTTACATCATTTTTCATACGATTATAGTTTTTTTGTCGAACGAAGTGCTATAAACGTTATGGTACTTAAATGTATTAAGATATCAACACCATTAGTTACCGTAGAAACAATACAATGGCATCGAGGTATACACAAGGTTACTTTTACATGTTTTTTTTCAGTAAATGTGGACAATTTACTTGAGTAATAATACGAATAATAATTCACAGCCCACCGCTAGATGAAGGCCTCCTCCCAATGCTGTATCCTTTATGGGGGTTGTTTGACTATACTTGACCGTACTTGTCTGTGCAGGTGGAGGTGAGGATAGTGGGGGTGGGGTGGGGTTGGACGGAGCCCACTGCTGTTAGCCATGGGCGGACACAGGACCAAACCTGGCTCGCCAGATTCCTAGTGCAGTGTGCAAATCACTGCACCCCCGTATATACAGGACGGTACTAACATTTTACATGTAAAATATAGTTTGGGTGCAAACATATGCTACACAGCTTTAATGACGGTCAAGGTATGTGATTTTAGAGATTTTTTCAGGCTTGCCTTTTGTTTTTGTTTTTTTGTTTCAGGTGAAAGAATGGCTCTGTCTCAACTGTCAAATGCAGCGAGCACTCGGCATGGACATGATGTCGCCACCTAAGCCCATGGGAATGCTTCAACATTTTGAAAGCAGCCAGCCAAAGGCTGCACTCAAGACGCCTGATGCCAGCCCATCCAAGCTGCCCTTTATCGAGGGTAAGCCCAAACATCTATCCTCTGAAAGCCAAGCCAAAATTTCCTCCAGTGATGTCGAACAAAAACAGCCACACCAGCTTAAACATGTTGGTCCTGATTGCGATGCAGCTGAGTCGCCTCTAAAGCCGTTGCAAAGCAAAGCGTCCCGGGTCGCTTCAGACGCCGGTGCCATCGACGATGCCAAACAACGCGGAGCGGGTGACTTGGATCAACCGGGCCAACTGAAGCAGCAGCAAAAACCAAGACAAGGGGATCCTCCGGAGGAGATGCACTTCAAGCCAAAGTCTCCAGATTACGTTCAACTGAAGCAGCAGCCAGTGCAGCCACCACAGCCACGGGATCAACCGCAGGGACATAAACAGCCACATCCACAGCAACAAAAGCGACAACTGGCACAGGGACAACAGCAACCACGGGCGCAGAAGCAGCCACAACCGCAGAAGCAGCCAAAACCACACGCGCAACAGACACCCCCACAGGCAGATAAGCAGCCTTACACGCAGATGCAGACACACGCACAGCCCCATAAATCACCGTATGCACAACAAGAGCCACAACTACAATCGCATCCTCAGCAACAGCCAAAGCATCGGTCAAAGCAACCAGCCCTCCCAAAAGACGTGAAACCCGCAGAAACGCCAGCACCGCGCAGTGGGCCAACTCCGCAGCGAGATAAAGTGCAAAAAGATATTCGCGAGAGTGCAAAGCCAAAAGAGATCATCAAAAACCCCGTTGCTGATGAAAAACAAGCAGTGCCAGATGCTGCAAAAGAAGACGTACCTTCGCACGTGCAAGCGGGTAACAAGCCACTGACACAGATCACAGAACCCAAGCCAACTGGCCAGCCCGCTCAAGCGTTGGTGCAAACGGAACCATCAACAACGCGCCCGCCTGCTGATGGCGAGGGTTCTAAACAGCAGCCCCAAATAATAAAACCTCCGACTCCGGAGCATCATGCGTCTCCATCAAAGCCACAGCAAAGCCAAGCCGAAGGTCCCGCAAAGTTTCTCCAAGGAAAACTGCCGACGTCCGCAAGTGCGATTTTCCAGCAGAGTTTGTTTGCCAAGCCAGAGGTTCAACAGAGTAAACCGTGGACATTGCCACACCAGCAGACTAAGCCTGCCACCACTTCTGGAGCTACGACACCGCAGGAAGGGGTCACTGGAAAGTTGTTTGGTTTTGGTGCATCCCTGTTCAGCCAGGCCACGAATTTAATCTCAACTGCTGCCCAGCCAGGCTCCCAAACGTCTTCTGCAAATGGCTCTCCGGCTAAGGCACCAGCAGCTGCTGCTGCCCTAGCTGTTGGCCAAGAAGGAGCAGCGAAGCAACAGAAATTGGCCAAGAGTAAAGAAGCCGAGAAGTCTACGGCGATAGAAAAGCCAAAGCCCGCAGCAACACCGACGCAAATGGCCCAAACGCAGAGTAGTGATACGCCTAAGAAGCCGACAAGTGCAGTGCAAGATAAAGTGAAGCAAAGGGCTGGAGCTGTGGATGATGACAAGAAGACGACCACTACTACAGCTGTTGAACCAAAATCAGCAGAGCCACATCAGCAGCAGCAGCCACAGCCAAAGCAGCCACAGACAAGCATTAAAGAACTGCAAGAGACGACAAGAGCTACGGGAGACCTGCAGCAGCCAAGCGGCAAGGAAATCGCCGATGAAGAACGCGAGCGAACTGTGGAACGGGAGGCAAACGGACGGGAAGGCGTCGGCACGGTGGCTGGGGACATCGCTGCGCGCCTCGCGCAGAAGGCGCTTTGCCCTCTGTGCAAGGCGGAGCTCAACGTTGACTCGCGAGAGCCGCACAACTACAACACCTGCACCGGATGCCGGGCCAATGTGTGCAACTTCTGCGGATTCAACCCGGCTCCACATCTGACCGAGGTAAGAGACACGCGGGGCTCGACAACGCGCGCGGCCCGCGTGTGTGAGCGTGTGCTGCCGGTCGTCTTTGGTTGTTCCGCAGTTTGGGCGCTGCCTGTCGTGACTGGGGACGTGTCGAGATTCGCAAATGTCACTCTCGGACATTTGCGTTTGGGTTGCGCCTGTTGATGTTTGTTTTGCGACAAATGTGGCCATTGCACAACCGCTCGGAGCGTACTGAATCCGCGACTGGCCTGATTTGGTCAAATTGCCAACGTTGAATGCCCGTGCAATCAACACTGTACTTTAGTTGACACGTTTATAATCCTGCTGTGGTTCATAGATGAAACGGTGAGAATTGTGATGAGTCTTCGATTCAATAGTAGAATTGTGGTGTTTGGTAATCGATGACTTACTCTTCATGCAAGTGGTATGCATATATTATGCTACTGTTGCGTTCGGGCTAAGGGGCCGTCCATAAATGACGTCACGCACAAGGGGCGGGGGGGGTCAGACATTTGTGACGATTCGTGACGAGGGGGGAGGGGGGTTGAGAAATGTGACGTCACATCAAAATGAGCGACTTTAAATCAATATAGACAACACGTTCTACTTAATTAAATAGACGTTTTAATAAATGTTTTCTCCATCAACATCAGAGTGCAGCGCCACATTAAATAGGCACTACAATGACAATAGTTTAAAGCGATTTGAAGCATTTTTTGGTTGGATGGGGGGGAAGAGCTTTGTGACGTCATATTTGAAGGGGGGGTCTGACTTTTTGTGACGCCGTGTGACGAGGGGGGGGTCAAAAATCGTCAAAAATCACGTGACGTCATTTATGGACGGCCCCTAATGGAATAAGTAAGGCTGTGCTAACGAGCCAACAGAAAATGCGGCATGCTAAACAATACATGCGAGGCGGAAAAAAATGAGACGAATAACTTGTTACATTGAAGCATGACTTAGACTTACCAGTTCATGAGATCATTATTGTATTGAGCCCCCGTGTATTAAATAAAATAGCGGGGAAGCCATCAATAATTGAGACTCTTCACAACACATTTTCTGCCAAACACTTGATTAAGGAATTAATCTTGAATCTCGAGGAATATTTAAATGAGCTTGGAACCAGGCACACTTCCACATTGATACAGTGAACTTAATGAATTTGTTTTATCACAAAGGTACACACCTCCCACTGTGTTTAAAAACAGACTAATGATGCACTTTAATATTACCGCATTCAAATGCATATCATTTGTCAGTAGAGTGCTTTCTATGATGAAGGCTTTTATATTGACATGTGTAAAATGTCTGCATTCTCAGCAAACTCAAACATTCATTCCATTGCAGAGCAGATTATGCGGTTGGATGAGGAAATGGCGTTAACACAAATGGCGTTTAGTAAGACACAAATTGCGTTTAGTAAGACACAAATGGCGTTTAGTAAGACACAAATGGCGTTTAGTAAGACACAAATGGCGTTTAGTAAGACACCAATGGGGTTTAGTAAGACACAAATGGCGTTTAGTAAGACACAAATGGGGTTTAGTAAGACACAAATGGCGTTTAGTAAGACACAAATGGCGTTTAGTAAGACACAAATGGCCTTTAGTAAGACACAAATGGCGTTTAGTAAGACACAAATGGCGTTAAATAACACAAATGGCGTTTAGTAAGACACAAATGGCGTTTAGTAAGACACAAATGGGGTTTAGTAAGACACGAATGGCGTTCAGTAAGACACAAATGGCGTTTAGTAAGACACAAATGGCGTTAAATAACACAAATGGCGTTTAGTAAGACACAAATGGCGTTTAGTAAGACACAAATGGCGTTAAATAACACAAATGGCGTTTAGTAAGACACAAATGGCGTTTAGTAAGACACAAATGGCGTTAAATAACACAAATGGCGTTTAGTAAGACACAATTGGCGTTTAGTAAGACACAAATGGCGTTTAGTAAGACACAAATGGCGTTAAATAACACAAATGGCGTTTAGTAAGACACAATTGGCGTTTAGTAAGACACAAATGGCGTTTAGTAAGACACAAATGGCGTTTAGTAAGACACAATTGGCGTTTAGTAAGACACAAATGGCGTTTAGTAAGACACAAATTGCGTTAAATAACACAAATGGCGTTTAGTAAGACACAATTGGCGTTTAGTAAGCCACAAGCGTGCACATCTGCAGACCTTTGTCAATCCACTGCTGGGTGAGGGCCTCTCCACGCCATCCGGGCGTTGGGAGTTGTTTCAATCATACTTCACCACGTCGGTCAGTACGGGTTTGTGACGGCGGGGAGCAAAGGTGGCAACATAGTGCAGTCCAACGATATCGCTTGCGACGCTGCCCTCTGCTGATAATGTATCCCTGGCAGCACCGCCTATTTAATGCATGGTGGTCACCCTCCCAAGATGAACCCAGGCTCAGCCCCGCCCAGTAGACATTACGAGATCCAGGTGCATTCCAGGTGATTTGGTCACAGGCACACACTCGTATTATACCTCGTGTTCGCTCCAGATGAACTACAGTATATTATGAACGCCACAGTAATTGTTTTTTTTATTTGTGCTCTAACACGCCCCTGACATGTGGACTTTGCTCAACAGCCACTCGCTCTACAACAGCTTAAATTGGCAAACATTTATGCCGGTTCATGACCATGGCCAAACAGCCTTGGCTGAACCACGTCCACTCCTGGGGGGGTTGGTGGAGGGGGCTGGGGAGGGCACTGCCCTGGTTACAGAGCTGCAGCTGCCACTGGGTGCAGCCCGTTGCCAGGACGGCACCCCGGCCGGCCTCTAGGGAACCACGGACCTGTCACGATGGTGCTCCAGCATTTTATTGGACTTGTGGGTTTTTTCACTCCTCGGGATTTGTTTTTTTTCATTATTATTTGATGTACAGTAAATTAATTGCGTGTTGGGGAGGGGGGTTATTTAGTAATGTTTTTTTTTTACTTTCATGAAATATAATGGAGAAACGGTGCAGCCCGGCAATTGCTTTCTACCGCTCCTGCTGGGGGAAGGTCCTCCGATAGAGGAAGCTCTATAGAGAGCTCCCTCTACATAGCGGGACATTGTTTTGCTTTTACTCTTCCACGCCGGCCAGTCGAATTGCAAGAGGTCATGATAGCGATGGCACGAAATGTGATCGAGTGACCCTCTGTTTATACCGGGGCATCTCAGAGCGCACTTTACACGCAATAAGCGACTTACATCGCATCTCAGTTTCAGACGTAGTAGGCTTTCGCGAACAATATCATCCATAATGGAGGTTGTTGGGTTAAATCGCGTAAATATAAATGCGTCGTTAAACCCGCCACCACCGGACACAGCCAATAAGTAAAGTTTGTCACGTAAACATAACGTGCCAATGCCTTACTAGTTCAGCACACCGGTGTGTTGCAGAGTAAACCCCACACCATTTACAATTCGAGTACGACGTTTCGCCAACAGTTACAACGAGCGTCATCAGGCGGACAGCCAGAGTTGGTCGCGTCTCACTCCTCTCAACACATTTCAAAGGAGACCCCCGTTGGCAGCTGTCTCTGTGTGGCACAAGGCGACTAAGGTGGCAACCTCGCCTGCATGCGGGTGGAAGCCATTGGTCTGCGACGATTGCTAGGCGTCGTCATGCTTATTAAAATAATTTGCGGGGTTTTTAAAAAAATATTTGGACCACGATGGTCGACTCGTTTCGGACGACCTCGGGGGGATATTTAACGCAACTCGACTCGAGCGAGCCCGGTTACAACACGGCGATCGCAAAGCGGATGGGGTTGGGGAGGGCGACAGCAACCCGAATTCGGCACGACAAGACAACCAAGGTGGGGAGCCACATGAAGATGTTGTACTGGGAGAGGGGAAACAGGGAAGATAACAAACGGCACTGGGGAAAGAAAAGAGACAAGGAGAGGTGGGGAATAGACGGCGGGTATTTCATGGTTATCGCAAGTGGCAATAACAAAAAACTTGAATCTGCGACACGCGACCTGCCCATCAAATCACTGCGGTGTCCTCATTTTACAACCACTGGGGTGGGATGGTGACAAAGCGATTTCACAAACTCGGCCAACGTTTCAACTGCAACGCCAGAGACTGATCGGACGACCTCTGTTTTGCGGGTCCAGTGTGCTCACCGTTAGCCCGGTCAGCATCTCTTTTCAAATATTTGTCGTAAAAAATAATGCCTTTGGACAAGAGTGAAAGTTGTACGGTAAAAGTTTCTTATAACAAAAGATGTTTAGGTATTCTAGATTTAAAGCTTTCGTGACTGCAAGGATCCATACTCTTTGGTTCTATTCGGTAAAGTCACGAAGGTAAAAAATAAAACAACAAAAATCACGACGTTTCGGCCACAACACAAGCGGCCTTCATCAGGTGAAGGGACCAGCCTGACTGTTCTTACAGGACACATTTCACGGGACTCGGGACGCGAGGCCAGTCCTGTGTTACACGGTCCGATGCGGCACAAACAATATGCGGACAATGACTTCACGCGTCAGCGTCACCTCTGCAGTCTAGAGGGTCTGGAGACAAATGTGTGAATAGCTGAATGTAGAGCATTTGGAGGACTTCGCACCTTATTTGCACAATGCTGGCCCGCACGCATTGATACGCACTGGGCTGAGGCTGATATACTACTGCTCGCTGTCAACCCTGCCTGCCTTCTGCAGTGACGTCAAATATTTGCTACACTTGCAGCCATGGTAGGCAGGCCCCTGTGCATCGATGGAGAAGTGCAGCCCTGCAATTACTGACTCACTCCACTGCTGGTAGTAGGGTTTGCCTTTGCGCCGTATGTAGCCAACCGCGTATATGTGATTTTGGATTTGGTCCTTATATATAATGAATGTTGTTGGCATGAAAGACAGCGAGTGATGTTGGCGAGTACCTATGAAGGCCAGCCTCGCAAACGAGGGCTTGAGTGGCCAGCACCACGTCCGGCCGCTTTTGTATCCCGAGTGACGATGTTTATACACCGCACTAGGTACATTTTTTTAGGACTCA